TGGGGCCCTGGACTGAGCACGTCTCGTCGTCCGGCAAGAAGTACTATTACAACTCGACGACGGAGGTGTCGCAGTGGGACAAGCCGCGCGAGTGGTTGGACGCGAGCGGCGCGACTACCGGGACGGCGAGGCCGGCTCGCAGCGGCCGCCTCCAGCGCCGCCTCTGCCGCACCGCCCGACGCCAAGCCAGGTCAGTAGGCGGCCACCGGACGGCCAACGACGGGACAGCTCAGGGTAGGTCAGCCCAAGTGGCCGGCTGCTCAGTTGGCGTTATGTCGCTGATTAATGAAGCGTGTGCAGCATTCGGTGCTGTTTATTGGCCCTCAGTTGTGTGTGGCACTTCGTTGATGACCGTAATTGGCTCACGTGGTCGTCCGTGACCGCATTGGTGGCATAATGATGTAACGTGGGGGTGATAGCAATGGTTCATTAGTTCACATCACAGCGAGTTTTGTGCCCATTACTTCGCCAACGTACTGGTGGAGTCCGTTCAAGCTGCTTATCCCTGCATGAATCGTTCTTGTCAGGCCCCCCCCCCCCCCCCTCCTCTCAGTTGTTACTGTCCGTCTCCGTGGCAGTTTCTTCCGTCCCGTAGTCGGTGCTGCGATGCTCAGCCAACTCCCCCCCCCCCCCCTCCTGGCGCCCCTGTGCCTCTTCAGTGGCATCGTTGTGCTGGCCTGTGAAGCGGCTGGCTGCCGCGCCCCCTCCACCCGCCCGTAACTTGCCGCCCCCTGTCGCCAGCGGCCGTGCGCGGTGGCTACGAGCGCGTGGGCGGCGGCGGTGGCGGCGCCCGGCGCGACTCGGGTGGGCGAGCGTTGAGCCGCTGCCGCACCGGGATCGCGCCGAGCACCGCGAGCGCGTGCTGCCGCCGCTCAGACGAGCCGCGCACCAACGGTCAGGCACAGGTGAGTACCCGGCGCCGCCCGCAGGACGTGGCCCCGCGCTGGCTGTCCGCGTCAGGGGCGGGGCGGCGTATGCAGGTGTTGCTGGGATTGCCGGTGATGTCCCGGGTCAGGGGCGGGGCGGCGTATGGCAGGTGCTGCTGGGATGCCGGTGATGCGCCCCGGTAGGCGGATTGGTGGTTCGTGATCGCTTATTTACTGTGTCGTTGTTTTTGTGTGACGTGCGTTCTGGTGTTTGCTTGCTTATCATAGTGATTTAAGTACTGAAAAATGTTGTGCAATGCTTCTTAAAGGGTTTAAAGCTGAGCTTACGCTGCTAGAATTTCCCGCGTTTTGGACGCCAGCTTTGGAATGATAGAGCAGATAAACATGGTGGATGCGACTTGCGGATGTCGCTAGTTGTTGTGGACCTGGTGCGAATGTTATTGCAAAGGAGATAGACTGATGTGCTGCTTCACGGATGTCGCAGTTGTTGTGGACCTGGTGCGAATGGTATTGCAGAGAGAGAAGACTGATGTGATGCTTCACGGATGTCGCTAGTTTGTTGAGAACCTTGGTGCGAATGGTATGCAAAGGAGATTGATCGACGCGTTGCACCACGGATGTCGCTAGTTTATTTATTGCACATCAGGTGCAAGTAGTATTGCAGAGGAGAAGACTGACGCGCTGCACCGGGGCTGCAGCCACTCATGAGCAACCGGCTGTGAAAATTCTGTGATGAATCCGTGGCCTCCGAACACGACGCATCTCTGCTGACTCCATGTCATGGACTCCCCGCGGATATTTCCATCGGGCGGGGCGGGTACCAGTGTGTTGTCTTCCGGTCGTGAAGCACCGTCTTTTTAGCCACATAGCGCACCATAAGCGGTAGCTATAAGGGGACGTTGACTCGTAACAGCATGCAAATTCAATGGGCATATTAAACTAAACAAACATCTGAGTGCGCAACTAAACATAAATGTCCAGTTGAGCAGTACTTACAGTACAGTACAGTAACAGCAGTACAGATGATTGATAATTGGCAACACGAACATGGATCAGGCATTATCCTGCATTGGTCATGTTGAGAATAGCATTATCATGAGCACATCAGTCTCAGTTTTTCTCAGCTGTTTAGCATGGGGTGCAAAATCGTGTGGTACACCTCGGCCAGGCGTTGCCAGTTGTCCTACGCTGTTAACGCTTCGTCCGTACGCCATCGCCCAGTTGTACACTGGAATCACCCCTCGAAGAATTTGGCCGTTGGGTACCGGCAATTATTCCCACAACCTTGCAAATGCTTAAGTCGTGTTGGGTGGGGCGAAGCGTGACAAGTTAGACGGCCACCCCCCAAAAAAAAAATGTAATGCACGGTAAGACCTCACCTGCAAAATACTGAGATTGAGCGATGTTACAGTCATCGGATCGAATCAATCACCTCCTGACGGAACTCGGTATGCCTGCGCCGGGCCGGGTGTGAGTGTGCGAGCGCTCTGTTGGTGGGCAGCGCGCGCGCGTGGCGGCGCTGACCGTCTGTGTGGCCCAGTTCCAGAGGCAGCGGCGGCCGCCGCGGTGCCGCCGGGGGCGCTGGTACCGGCGCCGGCGCGCCAACCGACCCGTGAGTCCTGCCCGTGCCTGCTCCTGCTCCGCGCCCTCCGTCCCCGCCGCTGCCGCTTCCCCGCCTGCCCGTGCGTGTGTGGCCTCCTGGTCCCGCGCCGTCCGCTGCCGGCCGCCGTTGCTGCGTGTGTGTATGCGTGTGTGTGTGTGTGTGTGTGTGTGTGCGCGCGCACGCGCGCGCCTTGCTCCCATGCAGTCCGAACACGACGGTTCGTCGTGTGAGTGCGTGAGCTCCGGCTCTTGGCCTCCCAGGACCTGTTCCTCCCCGAGAGACCAGCATCTGACGCTCCGGTAGGACGTTTGCTGGCCGTACGCCCCTGGTGGTCTTGCTACCGTACCGTCGCCTCTGACCACCGTTGCTGACGGGTCATACCCTCCCCCCCCCCCCGCCCCCACTCCCCTCTGACGTATTACCGCTCTGCTGTCCGCAATCCCGTCGTGGGCCGCTCTCTTTCGGCCGTTCGGCCAGCCTCCACCCCACCCCCCGCCCCGCCTCGGCCGCCGCCGCCGCCGCCGCCCGTTCGCCACCGCTGTCTGACCTCGGCCGTGTCTCGCGGGCCCGCAGCAGGACATGGAGATCTCGTCTGGCGACAGGCACGCCGACGGAGGAGTCCGCCGGCGGCCTGGCGGAGGCGGCGGCGCCACGGCTTGCCGGCCTGACGGCCGTCAGTCTGGCGGCGGCGCTGCCACGCCTGCTGCAGCCGGCCGCCGACGGCGCGCCGCCGCCCGACGACGATTCGCGGCCCGCCCACGCCCACCCTCTCCGAGCCGGTCGACACGCCCCGACCGACGCACCGACCGTGAGTAGGCCGGCAGGGAGGGGGACGACTCGGAGGGGTGTTGGGGAGGGCGACTGCCGAGAGGCCAAGCGAGGAGTGTTGGGGGAACGCGGGGCCCCAACCTGTCTTGAAGTTAAGGTCTTGTATTACCATAGTGGGGTGGATGCTTAACGTAATGAAGAGGAGTAGAAGGAGCCTGGGCAGTATCACCCAGTCGCTGCGCATGAACTCAGGATAATGGGGAGGGAAAGGCTGGTTGCTTTGGGTATAGAGGCCAGCCTTGTGCCACACCTTCACAGAGCATGAATTATGCCATTCTTACCACCAGCATCAACCCGTTTAAGTCTGTTAGGGGTCTGGGGAGTGAACTTGCACCCTGGGATTGCTGTTTTCTTCGGGAGTGGTGCGCCGAGCGGTGGTGGATCCTGTGACGCTCCAGTAGAGTTGTACGTTGTTAGCGTGATCAAAACTGCTGAAAGTGTGACCGTGTGTTCCGTTGTTCGTTTCACCAGTGGTCAAGTGTTCCGTGCTTCAGCAACGGCACAGTGCGATTCAGCAGTGACGAACCAAAGATCATGTTTCAGCCGTGTTTTTGCCGTGGCTCATCATTTGTGAGCTCAGCATTGTTCCGCTGTGTTTCGGCATTGATGAGCTGCTGCGCGTTTCGGCAGTTTTATTCTGTAATTCCGCAGTGCAGACGTTGGATTGCGTGTCAGCAGTGTTTTGTTGTGTTTGCGCAATGGTGGGTTATATGCGGTATTTCAGCTTTGTCGCGCTGCATGTCTGCAGTGGAGTGTCACTCATCGTGTTGCGGCACCGGCGAGCTGTCGGCCGTGCTTCAGCTGCGCTGGGCGGTGTTCTGACGCTCGCTCGGGAGTATTGGTCGGCGGGCCGTGCGTGAGCGGAGACGTGTGGCGTGTTTCAGCAGTGGTGAGCCCGTGCAGCAGCATCAGCAGCCTGCAGCAGACGAGCCTGGCGGCGCTGCGGCCGACCATGCCGCAGCTGACGCCCGTCGCACGCCCAGTACTACAGCGAGCACCTGATCCAGCACGTCGTCCAGTGGCCGGCCACCGTGATGGAGAAACAGGTGAGCGCCGCGGGCGAGGCGCGGCCGGTCCGTCTGCCGACCCGCCGCGCTCCCGGTACCCGGGCGCGCTGGTGGCGGACGCTGCTGCGTGTATGGGTGTGTGTGTGTGCGGTGTGTGCGTGCCTGTTTGTGTGCGCACGTGCGTGTACGCGTGGGAAAACCGGGGGTTGCAGCCGTCGTCGCGTTAGTGGAGGTAGATCTGCGTGTGTCGCTAGCCCGTGGCCCCCGTTGTGCTGTTTGGACAGTTGTGCAGCAGTGACGGCCGCACGGAGCCGTATGTGACGTCCCGTCCGGTTCGTCGCATTACATTGTCCGAAATGGACCAGCTGTGCGGCTTGGAACGGCCAGCCCCAGCCGCTGCCCGTGCCGCTCGCCCCCCCGCCGCCACCGGCGTCAGTCTCCTCCGCCGACCGCCGCGCGGCGCCGGCGTCTTGTGCTGCGGCTGACGCCCCGTCATCGTGGGCAGGCCAACCGGACCAACGAGGAGGCGTGCCACGTGGCGAGCCTGCTGATGACCAAGGCGGCCACTGACCTGAAGATGGCCCGCTCGCTGGTGCGGCTCGCCGAGATCCAGGCTACGCTACAGGAACAAAGGTGGGAGGGAGAGGGGCGCCAGTGGCGGTGCCGCGCGCCGCTGGCCGGGGCGCCGCCAGCCCGGCACACAGGCGGAGCGAGCGGGTTTTGCGTCCACAGCGGGATCACGCGGCGGGGATGGATGTGTGGATTAGATGGCGGGGGTGGACACGGACCCTGAGCCAACGCCATATGTTGAGAATAACCCATCGAAGTGTGAAGTCATTCAGGGGAAATGGATGGAATTTCGGTAGTCGGCAATGTTTGGGCTACCCATCCCAATGTGATAAGATGCAAACGTTTTGATGGTATGTTCCTCCTGAGGAGTTGTGTGCTTGTCCTGTGTTGTGTGCTTGGCACAAGGATTTGTGGTGAGTGAGGTGCGTGTTACAACAGCTGACAGGAGAACCGCCGTCGACTGGCAGTGCTTCATGTCCTGCAGTCCCATGTCTGTGGTCAAGCGGCAGAGATGGTTTCATCGCTATTGTTGGATGCGATTGGCCGGTGTTCATCGTCAAGGTCCGGGGGTGTGATCGGCCACTGACGACATCGCCGTCTCTGTTGCAGAATTCTCTTCCTGCGGCAGCAGATTCACGAGCTGGACGAGCTGAAGTCGCAGAACTCGTTCATGTCGGACACCTAGCGGCGGCCGCGGCACCCGTCTGCCCAACCTTGTGATAGCCGCCGCCTCACATTCCACAGACCACCCTCCTCCCACTCTCTCAGGGGCGACCAGCCGCATGCGTTTTTAGCTTTTATCTGGTCTTCGACGCTGTGTCTTAGTTCACTTTACGCTGGCGTTCCTGATTGTTGTGTGTCGCTCCGCGGTACTTGAGCCGCCTCTCGGACCCGATAGATGTCACCGCTGGTGGCCGGCGCCCCGTCCGGCACTTCCGATGTCTGTGGCTGCTGTCGGCCGGCCCGACACTAGGTGGCGGCCGGCCCTCCCGGCCCGACACCTATTTATTCAGGGGCTGCGCGGCGCGCGCGCGCGCGCGCGGCTGGGTGTCTGTGTAATGTTTGTACAGCTGTGTGCGTGTCCTGCTCGGGTACACTGTGTAATGTACGGCATGGTTGCGGTCAATTCCACTGAGAAACAGATGACGAATAAAACAATTATGTGAAATGTTTAGACATGGGACTTGGGGCACGCTGTTGCAATCGTCAGACGAACGTAGCCGGCTGCGGAGGACGCGTGTGTCTTCGAGAGGCGACGGAGTGTAGGCTGTTGAGCGGCGTCGTCGATTAGTGACACGAACTGTGCCGCTGGCGGAGGTGCGCGGAGGAGTCTCCGTCGCGGTGAGCCATCCCGCGTGGTCGGACGGGAACGACGCCTGACACGATCTCAGTTGCGGCTACAGTCCGTTGGAAGAATGGACGCCCGCACGTCCGTGCGTGGTGGAGTGCGCAGATTCGTTTCGGTGGTATAGTGCACGGTTCGACACCATTGACGGTGCCATGTGTTCATGGTCTTCATGATCTCGGGTCATCGCACCATTGTTGAAGGAATCATCCATACATTGACCCAAAATGATAGGGTTTGCTCAATGGACTGTCCAGCAGAATGTGTTTGGATCTGCATCTGTATCTTCGATCCGGGGCCTATTCTCCCCAGAAGTGTGGCAACGGAAAGGGGTTGCCCGTAAGCTGGGGGAAATGGCGGGTGCGGTCCTCTAAACGGAATGGCGGTGGGCGCATAAGCGGAGCTTCGCCAAAAGTACTGAATAAAGGTGGGGCTTGCGTGTCACTTTTCATGCGACTGTTGACATTTGGCCTAATTCATGCCTAGAGCGGCCTAGCGCTACTCTTGGAACATCGAGCAGGTGGCAGCATCTCCAGATTAATTCGGGTCCTTCCAACGTTGGGATGTAGGCTTGTCCACGCATGGTCCATGTGGTACCTTTTGGAACCTAATGATAATACAACTTAAAAGGATTTCCTAGAGCCTAAACCTGTCGTAAATAATTGCATTTATTTTTTTGCGTGCAGTGTACGTACATGATCGCTGGGTGTTTTATAAAAAAATTGATTGAAATACAATTACTGCGCTCTTGCTTCGTTTACATGCTCCTTGGGTAATTCAGGACCTAATATCTTCAGGGATTGGTCGGCAAACTGGTGTATTATGGCCTAGGCATTATAATAGTGGTTTTAGAATATATTTTGTATTCGCTTGGGTGCATTGTTGTTTTGAAGTTGTTTTTCCATCTGAGCATAGTTATGTCTAAAAGAGCTGCAGAAGGAGATGCAGATGGCTCTTTGGAGACAAAAATAACTAAAAGAAGCTCAAATGTTTTAGGAGACAAGATAAGTGTGTCAGGATGGTAAGCTGGGAGGCCTCATCTGGAATGAATTGATCAGCATATGATGGAAAATGTCATAAATCAATAGCTGTTTGATATCCATGTCAATAGCACCTGAAGTGTGGGATAGCCTGACAGTTTTGTGATGAGTTCATGGGTGTGACATGGCTATAGATGCATGCTGTTAAATGCATGTATGTTTTAGATAACTTAATGTGACTAAAACCCTACAATGGAGAGCCTTTCATGGTTTGGAACCCATAAAATAAGACATTGTAGCATTTACAGCAAGTAAACAAGCATATTTCATATTAGTGGATTAAGGCATGTTTACATTTTATTAAGTGTACCAGATATACCATATAACCTTTTAAGTCCATGCATGTCACATAATTTGTGAGGTGCAGCTTTTCATTTTCCTATTGAGTTCTTGGCAATAATTAGCTAATAGGCAGATCCATCAGCACCTTTTCAGTCAGAGGAGTTAGAGGAGCTGTGTTTAAATGATTGGGATATTTTAACCTGCAGTGATGCAACATGATAACTGATGGGCTTGGGCTCAGAGTTTGGTGGTGGAACCCACACCTGTGGGGTGAATAGCTTTGTACCCTTCTTATCCTGTCCCCATTGTCATCAATGTGGTGCCATTCCAAACATTTCCCTTGCATCCTAGCAATATGCTAGTCTGTTGGGCAGGTGCATCAGTGTCTCTTGTGACCAGGGTGTGCTTATTTTTGATGAGTGCATGGTGAGTGAGCATACCACACATAGTTCATCAGATATCATATCAGATGGCATTGTATCATCTTGTCAGATGTCAATCATATCATGTTGGTAGTTAATTCTGTATGATTATGCTAAGTGGTGTGCATGCAGTCTTTCAACCAATAGTTTTCTTATGAACAGGATAAGTCACAATTTTCAATCACAGGCATACAACATGGCTGTTTGCATGTTTAAGGGTATAATGTAGTGATTGGGGAGGTATTGATCAGTGAAATAGCTTACCTGTGCCTCCTTTTTCTGATGAACCTGCATCAGCTGTGCAGCTCCAGACCTGCATGTCCAAGCATCCAGTCTCAAGTCAGCACCAGATGATGCATCTCACGGAACAAAGTTGCTGGCGGAGACCATCTCGGACGGCGACCGCGAGTACTTTGCCTCCTACAGCCACCTGGACATCCACCGCACCATGATCGAGGACGAGGCGCGCACTCAGGCGTACCGGCGCGCGATTCTCACCAACTACCCGCTCTTCCGGGGCAAGACAGTGCTCGATGTGGGCTGCGGCACGGGCATCCTGAGCGTTTTCTGCTGCCAGGCGGGCGCGCGCCGCGTGTACGCCGTCGAGGCCAGCGGCGCCGCCGACTTTGCCCGCCAGGTGGCCACCGAGAACGGCTACGGCGATCGGGTGACGGTGCTGCACTGCCGGCTGGAGGACGCCGCGCTGCCCGAGCGCGTCGATGTGATCGTCAGCGAGTGGATGGGCCACGCGTTACTGTACGAGTCCATGCTGGATTCGGTGCTGCTGGCGCGCGACCGCTGGCTGCGGCCAGACGGCGCGCTCTTCCCGGAGCGTGCCACGCTCAAGGTCGCGCTCTGCACGGCGCCCGCCGACGAGCCGGCCGCCTTCTGGCGCGGCGTGCACGACCGCTACCGCGTGCACATGGCGAGCCTGGCGGCGCCGGCGGCGGCGGCGGCCGGCCGCGCCGCGCGCGTCGCTGCCGTCCTGCCGGAGGAAGTGCATTCGCACGCGGCGACCGTGGCCGCGCTCGACCTGCGCACCACGCCGGCGGCGGCGGTGCGCGCGCTGCGCTCGGGCCCGCTGGACCTGGTGAGTTTCGGCCGGGCGCGACTGACCGGTCTCGTACTTTGGTTTGACGTGCGCTTCCCGGGCGGCCTGGAGCTGAGCACGTCGCCGTACAGCGCCGAGACGCACTGGGCGCAGACGGTGCTGCCCCTGGCCGCGCGCGACGTGGACCAGGACTGGCGCGCCGCCGGACAGCTCGGCTTGCGCCAAAACGGCCGCCAGCCGCGCAACTGGGACTTCGAGGGCCGACCTGACGCTGGCGGACGCGGCGGCGCCCACCGCGCTCCGCTGGGTGCTGGACGGCGCAGAGTGACGGCTGCCGCTCGAAGCCGAATGGTCCGGCAGTCATGGACACGTCTCCGGTGTGTCGCATGCGTGAGGCCTCCGTCCACCGCCACCCCGGCTGCGCGGGCGTGGTGGCGAGGCTCACGCGGCGCGACTGAAGGCCGGGCTCGCAACGGCCGGCGAGGTCAGCTGTGCTGTGTGGAGCGGCAGGATCCGGCGGGCGAGGTCAGCTGTGCTGTGTGGAGCGGCAGGATGCGGCGGGCGAGGTCAGCTGTGCTGTGTGGAGCGGCAGGATGCGGCGGGCGAGGTCAGCTGTGTTGTGTGGAGCGGCAGGATGTCGCTATGGGAACTCTCGCGTACGGCGGCATGTTCTTTTCCAGGGACGTGCCTCGTGATCGCCTCATTTGTCATGCTATGATCGTGCCCAGTGCCCAGTAAAGAAAGATAATTCTAGAGCAGTGCAGCACTCAAGGCACGACGCCAGCAGTTGCCAACTGTTCTTGTTGTTCAACTGGGCGCTGGACACATCAGTGTCAGTTCTCGAGGGGGTCACTGATAGCTCAGTGCTCGTTTTAAAATGCCTTGTGAAGGAACTTGTGAAAGAAATGAATACCTCGAATCGAAAACCAAATATCTGTTGGTTCCATGTCGAATCGAATGCCAGAAATGAGTATCAAAGATTTTATTCCACAAAATCGAGCAAACTCGTTACGTCCCTGCAACGGTGGGTGGCATTTTACGCCACCGCCTGGTCATCGGTTCGCCATCGCTGATCGCGCCATCCGACCGCTGGCCGATATCTGCAGCTTCTAGAGGAAACGACAAGCGAATAATCCCGCCACACAAGAAGTCCGGCAACAGGGTAACTTTGTATTGGGAATCGATAATGAACAGCAAACGAGCGGAGGTATTTCAATCTACGAGCCGCGTCACCTACAGCACAGACTCGGACATCCAGTAATCGCGCTATGCCGGTGGGCGCCGTGCCGGCCGCCGGCAGCGGCGACGCGCACCCGCCGTGGGCCGTCCCTTCGAGCCCGAACACTATCTGAGCACGAGACGCCACTCCCGGCCGGCGAACTACCGCCTATCAACTTGGAAGTCGCTGCACTGGGAGACAACGAGACACGGTGGGACTGAGACACTGCGCCGCGAGACACCGGCACTGTGCCGCGAGACACCGGCGCTGTGTGGCGAGACACCGATCCTGTGCCGCGAGACACCGGCGCCGTACCGCGAGACACTAGCGCTGTGTGGCGAGACACCGGCGCTGCGCCGCGAGACACCGACGCTGAGCGGCGGGACAACAGCGCTGCGCCGCGCGACAGTGACGTGCCGCGCCGGGCAGACATGCGCTTATGCACGCCTCACGTTCGTAAATACCCATCAGTGCACGCACGCAAGACGGAGAATCGGAATGAGACGAGAGTTGCCCTGAAGAGAAGTTCAAGGGAACGTAACAACGCGGGTAAGAGATCTGTCGGTGATATGAGTTTCCCGATGCCCCGACGCCTGAGGTGTATTGCATCTTACAATGTTCTTATTGCAAATGTAAAAGTTCACAAGGCGGAAGCGTAGATCCCGGCATTAGAACGACTTCCCTCTGTTTCTTTTCAAGACTTGGCGGTCCCAGCATGCCTCCTTTCAGAGAACATGCCGTTGTTAATTCGCATTTAATGATGTCCCGATTTACATTTGACAATTCACATCTTTAATCTGAAAATTATATTTGTTCCGTCGCCAATCGGAGCGCCACAAATCCGCCTCAGCACGCAATCCCGTAACAAAGAAAGGGGTAAGTCACAGGTGATCTCACGATTCATCGTACCCTTCCCTCTAAAGGACATAGTTTAGGCCGATGCTGGAGCGCCGGACTCTGCTGAACTGTTAACATCATGAGCTGTTCCCATTAGCAATATCGTGCCCCAGGGCGCACGGCTTCGGCGCCGCGTTACAGCGACGATTGCAGCGGCTGTGGGTGTTCAAAGGATGTTAGAGGCCGACTCTAGCAATTGCCCTACTTCCGTTACTCCGAAAAGAAGGCATTGCTTGTGCACCGTTAAAGGCATCTTTGCTCTTTTGATGCTGAGGCAAATCAATATCTTCCTAAAGGGCCTTGTACCTGCTCACTTTGATATCACTGTTCAGCGGCGCGTTGCCGTAAATGTAGGGCAGCCAGCGGTGCTATAACACGCATTTTAACTCCTTCACAGGTACAAACCATTGGCCATGTCGGTATGCAGGAAACGTGCCGACGACTTTCCCGACAAGCCAGCGCTTGTCGGTGCATCTACGGCAGAAGTGCAAAAAAATCAACATGCTGACATGAACCAAAGTTCGTTCAGATCAAATCGTGCGACGGCATCGACCAGACGGGTAGAAAAGTTGCTACCCAAAAAAAACAACCTGACATACAACTGTCACGCGGAAGGTGCTGCATACCGAGCAACAAAAATACCTTGCTTTGATCGTGACCTCCGTCTGTCTGAGAACAATACAGCACCGACGTTCCAAGATTTGCTACAAATACACAGGATTCCTTCGAGATCATCAGTACCAACACACGACTGTGGCCTGTGACATATGTAACTCGGTTAATTCTCGCGAAGCAGGTTCAGCTGAGCGTTCCAGTTCACTTATTGATGACAGAATGTTTTGCTGCGCAAAACCTTATTCAAAATATTGCAAATTGTGATCACAACAAGCTATATAAAAAACGAGAAGTATAAGAGAGGCCTTCAGCTCCTTTTTTTACTTCGTGCACTCAAGAGTTCTGTTGCTGGGCTATCGATCTTTACTGTACCGGAGGGTACTGGTTTAACAACGTTGCAGAGCAGCGTCGATAACCAATAAACAGCGTCGATAACCAATAAACAGCGTCGATAACCAATAATCGACTTGAATTTACTGAAAACTGTAAATGTAACTCATCGCTGACTTGAAGCTCAATACTCACTATAAGAACTCCGAATCAAATTTCGAAAGCGAAAGCCAGGTGATTTCGACACATCGCGTATGAAACTCTGAAGGCAATCTTTTACCCGTCGTCGTATATCCTCGTGGTGAAATAAACGAAACGTTTCGGCTTCTCCCATGATCAGAACTGCCGGCCAGGGAGCCTTCGCACGTTCACGCCGGTCTAAGATTGCTAATACTATCGTTCGTTGCAAAAAACTTTCGTTGCCATGAAGAACTATATCGGTTTTTACCAGGATTATTCGTCCAGTTCACAAAGATGTTCTGCTTTAAGAGTTTTGCACATTCCTGCGAATTAATCCTGCTGGCAAATTGCACATCAAATGTTAGATGGAAGCCATCTCCTCAGACAAGTCCTGGCCCATGCTGGCAGGTTTTACGTAGGCTATTTTCAATCAGTGGGCCCATACAAACATATTTTAGCTCATTGGCTGAGGGCATCTCCCACATACAAATTTTTCAAAGAAGTGGTGCGAATGGCAAACATTACAACACTCAGTACGAAACAGGACAACGTTGTTCGGCAGTTGAGACCAAAAAGCGTGAAAAAGCTGTCCGACGCATGAACAGCATGTGACAGCATCGCAGCAGTATCAGATCTCTCGCAGAAGAAAATGTCCACCAAATACAAACTGCAGTCGCAGTTTTCGCAAAATGAGGTTGAGTGCTCATGAGTGAAAAATGACACAACACACGGCCCGATTTTTTCTCACGGTTGCGTGGCCTGAAGCCCAGGTTGGGGAGGGGGGGGGGGGGGGTGTCTGGAGCCCTCAACTGAAGAGGAAACTACGCCCCTGTTTGATGGGTGTTCGTTTCAAACCTTGCCACCTTTTCTATACCGGGTACAAAACTTTCTTGGAATACTAGAGGCGTTGGATAATCCGACGTCTTTGTAACAGACAAACGAAATACAAAAAAAAAAAAACAATTGGTGGAAACATATTGCACCGGCAGTTGAACCAGATAATGCCACATCAAGCCAACGTCCTACACGGCAGTTTGATGCGGTAAAAAGTGAAAAGGATACTGTGATTCCCTGCTCAACTTCCAAATTGCGTCATTGAGAAAACGAGAGGGGCGGCGCGTGCCGTGGGCCAGTCTCACGCGATCAGGTGTCTCAGCCCCGCTGAGTCGCCTGCAGTCCCTAGTCGACGCTGAGGGGTTACCAATGCATGCGATCAAAATGAAGGACTCGTTCACACCACCTTAATAACTGTCTCGTGCGACAACTGCCATAATAAATGATACGACTCGCGTCCGGCATTAGCACTAGTCCAATTGTCTCATTTAAGACTAGCGATCAGCACAACAGTCACGCAGAGGGAAGGAGAGGGATTTAAGCGCTTCACTCCACAACTTACGGACAACAAAGTCTCTTGGCAGCATGACCTAGCCGGTCACTCCTCCAGAGGCTGAAGTCTGTCCAGACTGCGTTTCTCGGATCACTAATGACACCAATCCGCCGTGCAGCGGCAGCCGACTCAAACTACTCCCGCCGGCGTGACGCGCGCGTACCGATCGCTCTCCGCTCACCCCAGCATCGCCTAAAGGCTATCATGCGACGTCAGCGCGACGTCGACCTCAGGGCGGGTCCGGCCGCTCGCCTCTCACCCCGACATGACCGGCCGAATGCCCCCACATCGCCGAGCGCACTACGGTTTGATCGCAAACTCTGGTATCGTTCTCCCGCCGCGTCTTTGGGTAATGACTAGCTGACTTGCTGCGAGCGGCGTGTCCACTCGGCGCCCTCCGCTCCGCCCGGACCGCCGCGCGGCGCTGAAGCCGACGCGCGGACCGCCTGCCCCGGCGAGAGCCTGGTGGGCCACGCTTCAGTCGCGCGAGACGGCGCGAGCCAAGATCCGGCGGCGGCTGGAGTTGCAATAGTGTGCCGTCGGTCAACCCGCGCCACGGTACGTGGCTGGCGTACGCCCAGTGCTGATCACGGCGACGGTTAGCCGGGCCCCGGTCTGGCGCACCCCCGAGCGAGACAGGCCGGCGAGGCCGAGCTCCGGGCCGCCGCGGCCCGCCAGCCTCCGCTGCCCACACCGGACCTAATCCTACAGCGAGATCAGAAGGCGGCGCACGCCTCGGGATCGGGCTGAGCGGCGCCGCACGACAGCCGACGCCGGCAGAGCAGCGCCCCGCCATGCCGCGCCGCGCCGCCGGACAACAACGAACGAAGACGGGAAGAGGGCCGCCGGCGCCGCCCTCGCAACATCGCCTGGCAGTGACCGGTGGCGCGAGCCGGTGCGCCGGCGCCGGCCGCCGGCCGGCAGGCGCGGCGGGCCTGGCAGCGCCGGGCCGCTATTGCACCCAGCTGGCCGGCACCCAGAGCGGCTCGTTCTCGACGCGGCGGGCCGTCCGCAGCAGCTGCTCGACGGCCGTCGACAGGTTGTCATTGACGATGGTCTCGTCGAATAAGTGGCCGTAGTGGAACTCGAGCCGCGCCGCAGAGTGTAGCATGTCCCGCAGCTCGTCGTCCTGCCGACAGATGGGTTGGGTCGGGTAAGTCAGACTAGGTGAAGTCTGGTGAGATGATGATAATGCCTTGAGGGTTTTGGACGCATCGACTGCGGGAGGGTGAGGTTACGTTAGGTTCAGATGTGTGAGGTCCGATCAGGTTAAGTCGGGTCCGGTCGGGTCCGGTCAGGTCAAGCCGGATTAGCCAGGTTGTATCACACTGGTTCCGGTTCGGTTACATCAGACTGGCAGAGGCACCGCCAAAGCTACCTGTCGCCGGCATCCCAAAGCAACGGCACAATCGATACTGCAGATCTGCCACTGGTTCGCCTCATGCGCCCGAGAATCAGGTCACCGCAGCACGCGCGGTCCGCTCCCACCGATCCGAAGCAGCCCGCGCCCATCCGGCTGAGGTTCCCAGGCCGGTGCCGCCCCCGGCCGACGGCGGCCGCCACGTACGGTGAAGCCGCGCGTGCTGGTCTGGTCGAACGTGGAGCGGGCGTAGCTGGAGGCGCGCGTCTCCTTGAGCCGCTCGTACATGGGCGGCTTGACGAACACCATGTGCGGCTTCATCTCGCTGGTGCGCACCATCTTGATGGCCTGCAGTGGCGCAGAGAGCGGCACTCAGTTGGGCAACTACACGACAGAAAATTGTAACAAAAGTGGACTAAATAACGGAAACGAGAAAACAGGTCCACATTTTCCATGCTTGTGATGTCTAAGGATAAGCCGCATAAGCCAGACTAATTACCCCTCCGTACATGCATTCATGTACGACAGCCCACACTGCACTAAAATACGCACCAGGAAGTAACATAACCCCGATTTTGCGCTCTTGTAACCAGCCACATGGCTCTACAGTCTACACTGAACGTCGATTGTGAACACAAGGGGGGATCGTATAACCCCTCCTCTGTTTCGGATATGCCTCCCAAATACGTTTGGCCGAGAGTAAGGCAACTTCGGGCCCAGGTGCCTGTACCATTTTGCTTCGGCTCCGAAAACATATAATCAGCACTCGCTCATCATCAACAACACGTCATCCGTCAACACAACACGTCCCTGGGCAGTAGCAACGACCTCTCGCCGACCAGCACGCAGGACAGAGCCGTGTGGAACTGATAAACTACCGCTCCTTCAACAGCTTCTCACCGTCCTGTCTCTCGCCGCGGCGAGCGGCAGCCGACGCTCACCTGGTAGTGCGGGCAGAGCACGCACACCTGCCCGCTGTTGATGATGGACAGGATGCTCTCCTGGGCGGTGCCGTACAGGTTGCCGCGGTACTCGCCGAACTCGACGAAGCGGCCGCGCGCCAGCCCGTCCTCCATGTCGGCGCGGGACACGAAGTGGTAGTCGACGCCGTTGCTCTCGCCCGGCCGCTGCGGCCGCGATGTGTCTGCAACAGCCGGCCAGCCTGTGACGCGGGCTGCGTGGAGGGCGACATCAGACAGCGATCGCTGAGAAATTGCCGAGACCAGATACAAGCATATTGTAGCTGCCTTCTCCCCGCAAAAGTGAACAGCTAGCTTGACAATGAAAGTGGAACTACTATCTAGCCTCTAACCAGCACACATCACCAGTTCCTGAACTGCTAAACAGAAGGACAGAGCAGAGGCGCACTCCGTGTTTTCTACCGCTGCGGTCTACAGAATAAACGCACATGAATGACCGGTTCCGGTTCTGGCAACAGCGGCTCCGCGGACGGCGACACCTACCGGCGCGATCCGCGCCCACACTCCCGATCCGGCCCTTGACCGGAGCTGGCCGCCCACTCACAGGGTATGACAGAGCGGTACTTGTCCGGGTTGGTGGCCACCAGGCGGCGCTTCAGCTCGTTGCGCCCCACACCGGGCGGCCCCACCAGCACGACCGGCCGGTGGTAGCCGGGCCGCGGGTACAGCTTGGCCACCTGCGCGACGCACCGGCGCACGGAGGTCAGACCGAGGGCACAGCCACGCACGGAGGTCAGACCGGCAGCACAGCGGCGCACGGAGGTCAGACCGGCAGCACAGCGGCGCACGGAGGTCAGACCGGCGGCACAGCCACGCGCGGAGGTCAGACCGGGGGCACAGCCACGCGCGGAGGTCAGACCGAGGGCACAGCCACGCACGGAAGTCAGACCGGGGGCACAGCCACGCGCGGAGGTCAGACCGAGGGCACAGCAGTGCAAGGCGAGCGGCCAGGCCCAGCCAGCGCCTGACGGACGTCGCCACGTGTCACGGCTACACGATGGAGGCCACCACGCCCGTCGAGATCGAATGCTCTCACGCACACGCGTTTAAAGTATTAAACCGCTCGTCTCAAGTTACATGTGCTCTGGTTATGCCGCTACCGTTGGCGTCAACGAGCGTCGGTGTCACGTGCTAGGTGGTCAGCCTCACCTCTTCATAGGTGGCCACCTCCTCGCGGTCAAAGTCGTCGTTTTCGGCCGCGTCGTACATGATCTTGCGTATTTTGTTACTGCGACTGCCTGGAGACCTCGCCACGCAAGAAATGCCTACGGCGGAATCGGTGAAATCAGTAGTCACGTGAGCAACGAACAACAAGCCAAAAGAGTAACCAGCATGTCCCCAGAGAAAGCTTCCCGATCAGCGAAGAGATCAGTGGAAGTGCAAGTGGAATACAAACTCAGCGATGTCGTCGAGTCTACAAGGCAAAGCAAAATGAAAAAACCTCGCCAATAAATCACGACAAAAAATATTCATACACCAATCGCGATCAAAACTCGCTGTGATTCCGATGCAGTACCACTATGTGGGGCCACCACATCAAAGTTGCCATCGCCGAGATTTCTAGTGACCCTCCACATCGGCTGCAGTACACAGCTAGGGGGGGGGACGGGTCTCGTACCCTTATCGTCGGCGCGCTGCGTGCGCTCGGCCAGAATGCGCCGCTCCTGCAGCGCCCGGCTGGGGATCAGGCCGGCCCGCATGCTGTAGTCGCCCTCCCGACGCGCCTGCCACCTGGCGGACGGCGGACAAACGCACACCCGTCACGGAGCGGCCTTCGGGCGTTCGGCAGTCTGTTCACAGAGCGGACGCCAGCCAGCGGACGCGCGTCACCGCACGGCTCTCGCGTCAGCCCGATGAGCTGAGATCGAACACAACGACGAGGACGTGCAGCAAGCGTCACGTGGCCAGAGGCTGGCAGCAGTGGCTGATGTTACGTAAGGTAAGCGCGCGGAGGGGAACGGAAGCGATCCAACACCACGCCAAAGCCGGTCAAAACTCAACACGTCTCACAGAGTAAGACACACGCTCCACAAGGCAGTGGTGGCTGAGAGACCGCAGTTGGTATGTAGAAAGGCGCGCATGAGTATGAAAGACGCGCAGGGTAGCGCACGTCGACTTTCGCCGCGCAAAAGGCTTTCCAGGGCAGACACCAGACTGTCCATGACGTCGCACATTTGGCCCTGTCGCGGAATGCTTCCTGGGCTTTACATATTCGCATTCGGTATTCCAAACTCGCAGCACGCATCTTAACAAGCCCAGGACGCCGTATCCGGAACCACGCGAGCCGCTCGCATGCCCCACGCCGGAGACCGGCGTCGTCCGACGGCGGCGCCGTCCACTCGCACGCCCCACGCCAGAACCCAGCATCGTCCGACGGCGGCGCCGTCCACTCGCACGCGCAGCGCCAGAGCCCGGCGTCGTCCGACGGCGGCGCCGTCCACTCGCACGCCCCACACCAGAGCTCGGCGCCGTCCACTCGCACGCCCCACACCAGAGCTCGGCACCGTCCACTCGCACGCCCCACACCAGAGCTCGGCGCCGTCCACTCGCACGCCCCACACCAGAGCTCGGCGCCGTCCACTCGCACGCCCCACACCAGAGCTCGGCGCCGTCCACTCGCACGCCCCACGCCAGAGCTCGGCGCCGTCCACTCGCACGCCCCCACGCCAGAGCTCGGCGCCGTCCACTCGCACGCCCCACGCCAGAGCTCGGCGCCGTCCACTCACACGCCCCACACCAGAGCTCGGTGCCGTCCACTCGCACGCCCCACACCAGAGCTCGGCGCCGTCCACTCGCACGCCCCACACCAGAGCTCGGCGCCGTCCACTCGCACGCCCCACGCCAGAGCTCGGCGCCGTCCACTCGCACGCCCCACACCAGAGCTCGGCGCCGTCCACTCGCACGCCCCACGCCAGAGCTCGGCGTCGTCCACCGCGCTCACCAGTAGATGTCGTCCTGGCTGACGATGTGCAGGATGTCTCCCCGCTGGAAGTCGAGGCCCGCCTCGCGGCACGGAATGTGCTTGTCCTCGGAGGACACGTAGTCGAAGAGGGCGCGCATGCGCACCTTGGACTCGCGCGCCGCGTGCCGCGTGTCGGCCGGGATCAGCTTGAAGGTGATGGTGCCCTGAGCCTGGGTCTGCGGCGTCACAGCGGACGGCGTGAGCGGCACCAGCGCCGATGGCGGCGGTGGCGGAGGAGGGCCGCCTCACGCGGCACACCAGCGGCACACCACAGCACATGCGGCCAGGGTGGTTGGTGGTTCAATCAACTACACTGATAGTCGATCAACGTCGACGTTGACAATCATCGGTTTCTTTTACCAACAAGGTAAAAGAGGGTAAAAAGGAAAAGCTCTTAATATGGCAGTCATGACACAGCATTACCTGGGCTATTTACCTTTTAACAATACTAGGCTAAAAGGCTGGGTAACTATTCGTCCATCTAGACACTTGGGAGGAGAGAGCATCATCCAATCATTAAGGCGTACTCAAAAGTAAAATTATACCAACGCCACTCGAGCGCATAAAATTTGTTGGAGCAGCCTATCGACCGCGCCATTAACCACTTTCACTCTCATCATTCACCACCCAACGGGCGCCGAACATCATCCCCCCCCCCCGCCCCGCCCTCTCTCTTAAAACCACCAACCACGCACAACTAATAAGCACAACAGCAGCCATCACTCCCCTCCTATCTTCAGGCCAACCCCGGCCGGAGCGCCCGAACCTCCCTCTCTGTGTCCTGCTCCACTCCTGACGTACGGCGGGACACCGCGCTCAGCCCCCTCCCCCGCCCCTCTGCCCCGCCGCCACACGCACCAGGATGCGCAGCACGTCGTTGGGCGAGCGATCGGTGACGTCGATGTCGTTGACCTCGAGCACCTCGTCGCCCACGTGGATCAGGCCCGACCGGTCGGCAGCGCCGCCGTGCATCACCCGCGCGATCACGATGGCGCCCGTCTGCTCGTCCGCCTTGATGGTGGCGCCCTGGGCCGACAGGCGCGAGTTACCGGCCGCAGCTGAGGCCCTCGCCACATATGGCGTGGCAGGCGCTATAACTGTTCGAGGAATGATGGATGTGCCACGCACAGGCTTGAGGGCGGATATCAATGACCCGAAGCCTATGGCGACCTCCAAAACATGGCGCACACCCTCAAAATCGGGCTGTCAGCACCTTAGGTTTGCATCTGCCAGTCGCTCTGACTTCACATGCAGTAACGGAGTGACAACTGCAGCATACGGTGGTACACCACGCCTTTTCCTGCAGGTCGGTCTGATTGGCCCGGCCTAAGCAACACTGCAGCGTTATCTACTCACCACAATAGGCTCGCATCCCTTTGAACCGTCCTTGGCCGCAGGAAATGAATACGAGATCAAGTCGGGTAGCAGGACAATGACCTATGATTGGGGAACATCAGCGAATAGTGACACAACCCTGAAGTTAACAAAACTGTCTTACGAGCGTACAGCTTGACTTTTCTGGTAACTATTTTCTTACAAGTTTTAAACACTTTCACGGTAAGAAAAAAGGGCGTTGTATATTTCGCGAAGATCTCACGAAAGAAGTACCTACTACATTTGATTCACAGGACATTTCGTGAATCAAATAATTACTGTAGCCCAACGCTAGGATCTCAAAACAAAATACAAAACAGCAGCGATTGTATTTGTTCGCGCGCCGAGTGAGAAGCAAAACACGCATTGCGTGGGTCCACCCCGTGACGTCTGAGCTCGCCGTCCACAAGTGCACCTCACCATACGTTTCAGCCATCACCACGCTCGGCGGCGGCAGCGAACGGCGGGAGGCAGGGGCGCGGGCGCGGGCTCGAGCTCGGGCGGGAGCAGGGGGCGGGGGCAGGGGCGGGGGCAGGGCGGGGGCGGGGCGGACGGCGACAGGCCGGCCGGCCGGCCGCTCAGTACAGGCAGTCTAAGGCGGAAGGTGCCGCTGATGCAAGGGGCGCCGGCGGGCGGCAGAGGAGCGGGCGCGGGCTCGAGCTTGGACGGGGGCGGGGGCGGACGGCGACAGACCGGCCGGCCGGCCGCTCAGTACAGACAGTCGAAGGCGGAAGGTGCCGCTGATGCAAGGGGCGCCGGCGGGCGGCAGGGGAGCGGGCGCGGGCTCGAGCTTGGACGGGAGCGGGGGCGGACGGCGACAGACCGGCCGGCGCGGCCGGCGCGGCGTGCGGGGTTGGAGAAGGCACGAGGAGCGTGCGTCGGCACCAGGCTCGGACGGATCGAGGGCAGGACTCTCTGAAACCGGCCGCGCACGTCAGGATCCCGGGACAGGCCAGTCCAACATCATCACCTTCGCGAGCTTTATGCATTCGGAATGGCCTGATCAGGTGTTTTGAGCTCTGAGTATAACTAAGCCACTTTATTGCATCAGCTCTGATGCCTGAGCCCAACAGCCAGATTTCGCCTTCAGCCCGAAAAGAAAGTTCCCAATTAGCCATTTTGCCCGACAGGATTCCTCAAGGGTATTTTGAAACACACAGTACCAAAAACAACGCCACCCCGCAACCGTCAACAGCGCATGGGCAGATCGGACATGTTTTAACTGACGAGACAGAACATACCAAAGCCGGCTGCGGAACCCCGCGGCCTCCTGCATCTCATTGTCTCCTGCATCCCCGCGGAGGCCACGCACGCTTCCACCTGCACGCACCGTCACTTACCAGCGGCTCGTTGCTTTTGACGAGCTGCACGATTTTGACGGTCTCCTCCTCCTCGTCGGCAGCGTCGGTTGGCGGGTCCGGCAGGCGCGGCACGAAGTCCTTCTGCGCCACCACGTCATGCGCCGACAGCAGGTGCTGTAATGGCGCACGTCCCCGGTCAGACTAGCAACCCCGGCCCGCTGCGCCGCCACACCGTCCCCTGCCGAGGCGGCCGTGCGTGCTGACCCAGGCTCCTTGTACAGACACCGGCGCCGGCGACCGAGTGCAAGCTCGGCAAGGCAAGCGGGGTGGCATCGTCGTCACCTGCACGTCCAGAAGCTCAACTGCAAAATAGCAAAAATCACGAATACAAGCGTTTAACTATTAATCCGTCGTAAATGACCAAGTAAACGCTTCTCTGAAATGGTATAAGCGGTAGCAATACGCTACGAAAGCAATCACCGCCCAGACACGAGCAGAGCCGCGCACCGTACGCCGCCAGGACTGGGACGGGGCGCGTCGTCTTTCGTCGGAGGCCTCCCCACTCACCAGCATGTGTGGCGCCTGCAGCAGCCGGAAGAGCTCGACGGCGTCCGGCTGGGTCAGGCCCTTCAGCTGGATCTCCCCCATCACTTCGAACGCGATGTCCTCGGCCGTGGAGAGCACTGGCTGGCACATGTTCTCCGTCATGCTCGCCATGATTGTGCTGTGGGCCTGAGGGAGGAGCAGACGTACGTCGGCGCCCGCACTCCGCGGTCTGCTGGGCCGTCCGTATACTGATCACATCTTGCAACGTGCATCTGTCCCGATTAACTTGTTAACGCGAACTGCTCGAATGCTCATCAAATTAAAGGCGAGGCTCTGCTTAGCTCGGACTCGAAAAGCATCACTGCCCCTTCCAATACCACCACAATCTCGTTTCACAATCCTAACAAGGGATCTGCGACGGGCGACGCCGGGGTTCAGCGGGCGCGCGGCCAGCTGACGGTCACCTCCGCAGCCAGCCCCACGGTCCACGTGCCTGGATGAGACTCTGCAGCTGGGCGCTCTGCAGCAGGTTAGCCAGGAAGCCGAACTCCTCCTCGTTGCTGCCGAGCGAGGAGCGCACCTTGCCCAGCTCGGACACCACACCGCTGATGTCTGCGGCACGTCGACGGCACCGAACACGGCGTCATCAGCAGGCCGAACACGGGGTCATCAACAGGCCGAACACGGCGTCATCAGCGGGCCGAACACAGCGTCATCGGTGGGCCAAACAAGGCGTCATCAGTGGGCCGAACACGGCGTCATCAGCGGGGTGAACACGGCGTCATCAGCGGGCGGAACACAGCGTCATCAGCAGGCCAAACACAGCGTCATCAGCAGGCCAAACACAGCGCCATCAGCGGGCCGAACACGGCGTCATCAGCGGGCCGAACACGGCGCCATCAGTGCGCCAAACAAGGCGTCATCAGCGGGCCGAACACGGCGTCATCAGCGGGCTGAGCGCAGCGTCATCAGCGGGCCGAACACAGCGCCATCAGCGGACCAAACACGGCGTCATCAGCGGACCGAACAAGGAATCATCAGCGGGCTGAACATGGCGTCATCACAGCGCCGAACACGGTGCCATCAGCGGACCGCACAAGGCGTCATAAGCGGACCGCACAGGGCGTCATAAGCGGACCAACAACGGCGTCATCAGTGGACCAACAGCGGCGTCATCAGCGCAATTGAGCCACATGCTCCAGACACACATGAGCCACACACTAAATACACACAGGGTCACATGTGAGTCACACACTCCATGCATGCACGCGTACACGCACGCACGCACGCACGCACGCACCCAAGTCACACACTCCGGATACACATAAACCACAAAACATGAGCAGAAGGCTGAAGAATGCTGCAAGCCGACAAGATGGCGCAGCATGATGATAGTGAAGATATGCAAGGGAGCATGACAGGGTTGGCATGTCACAAAATTGGAAGTTGCTAACAATAGCATGTGGTGGTGGTAGGTTATGACTGAATGGCTGCCCCCTGAAAAAAATAACATGAGGCGCATGACGCTCTGTGGAAAGACACGCAGTAGGCATTGTGATGGTTCTTCAACAGTTCCCCAGAAGTCCCATAACTGACAGTACATGCACAGATATATCAACATGATGCAAAGCATGCTTCTCACCAAGATCGCGGTCATTGTGCCCATTTGCCATGACTTCCTCACTTCCCACCATGTCAAGCATCTGAAAGAGACGAAAACGTCAATCCTGGGAAGACAGGAATTGTGAGAATATTTCAAAATTGTGAGAAGATTTCAAAAAGAAAGGTCACCGAAATGTTGGAAGCAGCCTTGCAAACTGGTGTGCAACGGTTGAACTAATGGCGTTATGTTAACATGGAGATCAACCAATATGTTACCTCCACAAACATATTAACAACTCGCCATCACACCCTCACACTCTGCATAACTCATTGTGAGGAAAGCAAAACCCTACAACACAGGGATTGCTGTTTCCAATAAGCATAGACCAGCATGTTGATGCAAGGTCAAAAAAGTTTGGTTCAGTATGTGAATCAATGACTTCATGGCCTAGGGGATCAAAACAAGATTTAGGGATAAGCCTGGTACAATGGCGGAGTGAACGCATCACTTAAACGCCAAACTACTGAAATTTTTGACAGACTGCTGCTGCCACCTGGGACTATGATAATCCCTCGCCATCAAAGCAGATGTCAATTGTGTGAGTCAGTCGGAAGTTGCAATGCTGCTGTGCATAAGAAAAAAGTGATGTGCATTTGATCAACTTTGCAGGGGAAAGACTTTTCGATTTTCCGCCATATCACGCTATTGCTTAGTGGCACATACTTGAATTGTATATCAGTGAATTCGCAACAATGAAGGGAATCAGTCTATATGCTGTTTTCCTTGCCTTAATGCATGAACTTCAGAGAAATTCAAGATAGGTTTTTACGTTTTGATGTTTGTAACAACAAACGTGACTCCCGCAAAAAAACGCAAATACATTGGATACTATCAGAAAAAGCATAAGCTCACCAGCGTATGCAATGTAAAAACAAAAGTGCAGGCATGCACTTTATATTAATGGTAAGAGGTGTAATTCAGGGCTGGTGAGGACGATCGCATCTACATACAAGGCTCACTATTCCAAGCAGAAACTCAAACCTGCGCTGATTTTCGTAGCAGATTAGCTCGGATTTCATGACCTAAAGCAACAGATTTAACGTCATGACCTGTAGCAACAGGCTTAACAAGCGTTCGGGTGGGGGTTAATTTGACCCCCAAAGATATTCCGGCATGGTTTCCGACCCGCGCGGCGTAGCCGCGCCAAATTTTGCATAGCTATAGACCACTGAATAGCGGATCGTCCGGCATCACAAATTTGGATGCACCTTGTAAGGTCGCTGACCTATGGCAGATCAACATCAGGCCATGATTTCAGCGAGGACCATCTCTAGGGAATCGTTCAATCTGATCCAACAACGGAGTGTTAGACGAAGCTATATATCTCTGAGATACTTTCTTAGGCAACATGGCAATTAAAGGAACAAATTACATCGGCCTAGGGTCAGGTATGACGATTAGACCAAGGTCAAAACCGACCTGTTTTGTTACTCTAGAGATGCTGTATGGGTTAGTTTTCAGGTCTCATTTTGAATTTATTGATCACAGGAACCACACTATACACCTTCCATGGACATTTAATGGTCAGAATAAGTCACTGGCCTAAAATGACTCAAGTCAACATTTTGTTCTTAGGAACATGCTGCCTAGCATAGTCTGTTACTTATTCAAATGCAGGGCTCAAAGCAGTTTTGTATTATTTTGGTCACTATGACCTTCAAAAGGTCAAACAAGGTCACTGACATTAATTGAGCATGTGACCACTTGCTTAGAACAGTTATCTAGGTTCTAGGGGCCCCTTAAAGACCAACCTGGAATTTGACCTTGTTTGACCCGAAAGTCCTAACCTAAACACCTAAAAGTTTGACCTAAGTGAGCTCAAGTACAGGTTGACACACCCTGTAAATTTGGTGTCTCTAGCTCTCTTAGTTCCTGCGATCTCAGGCGGCCAACTTGACCACCTCCCGAGCGAAGGGTACCCAACCGGCCGCCCCGGTGCGTGTTAACGTAAGGAGAGCCAACTCCGTGGCGTTGCCTCTACTTTACAGTGGACGGTGTTTGCACTTCCTTTTGGAGCATCGTGGACGATACCCTCCCCACCTACCACGAGGAGATCAGGGATGTGGGGATATTAAGGCTGGGACGGCGGTGAGCTCTCCGGCAGGACCAGACGGCGCCACGGAAGCGGGAGACTGTGGCTGGATGGCAGCGAGCTCTCCTGTAGGACCAGACGGCGCCACGGAAGCGGGAGACTGTGGCTGGATGGCAGCGAGCTCTCCTGTAGGACCAGACGGCGCCAGGGAAGCGGGAGGCTGTGGCTGGATGGCAGCGAGCTCTCCGGCAGGACTAGATGGCGCCAGGGAAGCGGGAGGCTGTGGCTGGATGGCAGCGAGCTCTCCTGTAGGACCAGATGGCGCCAGGGAAGCGGGAGACTGTGGCTGGATGGCAGCGAGCTCTCCTGTAGGACCAGACGGCGCCACGGAAGCGGGAGGCTGCGGCTGGATGGCAGCAAGCTCTCTTGTAGGACCAGATGGCGCCAGGGAAGCAGGAGGCTGTGGCTGGACGACAGCGAGCTCTTCGCTAGGACCAGATGATGGCAGACAAGCAGGAGGCTATGGCTGGATGGCAGCGAGCTCCCGGGTAGTGCCAGATGGTGGCAGAGAAGTGGGAGGCTGCGGCTGGATGGCAGCAAGCTCTCCGACGTTGCCAGATGGCAGCAAGGAAGTGGGATGCTGCGCCTGGACGGCGTCGAGTAAAAAAGAGCGAGAGCAGACATTTGCTTTTTGGCAATTGAATCGCTGGAGGAAAAAAGAACTTGCGTTTTTTTTGCCCTAGCCCACAGCACTTACATTTCTTTCATGCTACAAGATTGGACTTGTTCTCCATTTGCACTTTTACAAATAAAAACCAAAATTTCAAACAATTGGGGCTGATTATGACAATTACCTTTTGGGGGATGATGGGGGTCAGTATTACAAATCTAAAAGTGCAAAAACTCCAAAATGGCAAAAATTGCACCTGCCCTTTACTTCACATGGCACACCATTCAACTTCCAAACTGTTTTGCATGTTGCACTGTGCAGGAACCAACAATCACATAAATTTGCACAGCAGCAGTTTCATTAGTAATGACAGGCTTCTCATATTTCATTGCTTCTTATGGAAAGTAATTTTCATCTTGCTTAACCTGCACCACACACTATGCAAGGTAATGTGTTGGATCTCAGCAATCTCAACAAAAAGTTGGTGTGCACACACAGGTAAGAGAACCCTAATTTTGTAACAGGGCCACTGAGTGATGCTGTTTTAGAACTCAAGAATCATGTGAATTGATTTAGTTAAGTTGAATGAGGCACAGATATTGTTGTACCAATTTAGAGGACAAGTCAACATAGAGTTAGCATGGAACTCAAAACATTAAGACAGGGTCTCAAACATATTCTCAGATATTATAGAAACCTGGGCTTTGATTCCCAACTGGATTCTTCAACCATGGTTAAAGGGCATCAAACTTCACAACCACTGTTGCTGCACCCATAGCCTGTGGTACTCTGTCACCACCATAATCATGCTGATGAGGTTAGAGGTCATGCTCTTGATCAGGTTTATCCTCAGTCCATTCCCATGCAGTCTGCTTGGTCTGCTTAACTGATGAAAGCACCTGCCTTCCACTTTATCTGCCAGTGGCAGGGTGGGTGCAACTCACTTCAGGCACACACTTTTTCCCTTGACTGGAATGGTCTGCAGCAGGTGACCACAGCCACATTAAAGGTCACATGACATTAGAGAGCAAACAACCATGCCAAGCAGTCAGGCAACTTACATCTTTCAGCAAAATTTTGACATTAACAAATATGTACGTGATCACACAGTGAGGTCCAGGCTGACATAACAAGCACTGCTTAGCACGGGTGCTGATGATTGAAAGTCACATAGTTGAAAGGTTTGGACTGACATGGCTCATTCAAATCAATGACATTTTTTTGTGAAAACAAGTTTTTGCAATTTTGATGTTATTCATCATGAAAATTGTCACTAGAACACTGTTCTATCTCAGCCCTGCTGCACTACACATTGTAATAACCTTGATAACTCAACTTTCAGGCAGCTTTTGTAACTTCCGCCCAACCCAGTCTGCAAACTATGGTAGCTCTTAAAGACATCTTGTCTGGGCAAAGGTAAGGCACAAGTTCCAATTTGGGACAGCTTATTAATGCTGTGTGGCATAAATCATTGAATTGGAACATTTGAGGCATAATGATGTGTACTAAAACATGCACAACAGTTATGGTTACAGAAAATGCCCACATCTGACATGTTTTGAAGGGGAAGTAATTAGTATGGTTAACCAAATCTGCCTTAAATTGAGCAGCTGATTAACCTTTTTGGAACTAGACTCTGTCTGCTCCAAACATCTTTTTGGCATATTTGGCATGGTTTGGAGACTGGCACCAACAATAAACACAAATGATTTGCTAGTGACACCAATATTTTGTTGGTGAGGACCCTGTTACATGCGTATGAAGGGGGACAAATCACTGAGAATCTGAATTATTTTGCACATGCCCACAATCATGCATGGACGCAAATTCCCTGCCACCCCGTACTCCCGCCCCCTTCCTGACGTCTCCAAATGTAAATAGGCGCCTGGCAGGATGGACACACCCACTTAATGCCAGTGCGCGCTCACGTGTTGATGTGATTGCGACATGGGTCCCAGCGGTCCGATACATGAATTAAAGGCAATATTGATGTGCATGTGAATAACGTAACTGTACTGGATACTCACAATGCGCACACCCCCGATTTCCTACCAAAACATCGAGCAGGGACCTTGAGCACCGTCGGTGAGCCGTAAACGCCTCACAGAGGCTCAAGTTTTGTATTGTTTGTCCTCACTTTTTGCTACTGGCGTATGCTGCGGTGTGAAATGTCCTGTAATATACCAATTAATAATGGAAAGATAAGTATCAAGTAGTAGGAATTAGTACATAAAAATTGATTTAAAAAATTTTAAAGAGGTATATGTTAAGGTTTCTGGAAAAGTTTACATACTTAATCCAAAATACTGTTGAGTTTTGTTGACCCTGGCGGGTCTGCCATGCATTAATTATTTACTACAGCCGTATACGAACCCTGGCATTTGCTTCGCGGTGTTTGGCTGGGTGTCTATTGTATTGTAGAGGTTGTGGTTTCGGTTCGGGGTTGTCATGAAACTGGCTGTGGCCCTGACTAGCTGATTGTAAAGACTTTTATAAACCTGGATTGTTGGGTGGTAGTCAGCGAGTTGAAGTACAGGGTGAGATAAACAATGGTGAAATGTTCTCAGCATAGTCTCACTGTGGAACGTGGTGTCGGAGATGATGTTTGTTCTCATTTTGGGAGGATTATATTGAAGGTGCCAAAAGCGAATACTTAATATTTTGCTGATGCCGTATGCTTCCTATTGTACCTTGGTCAATTAATCAATGATGTTAATGTAAAATGTAAACAATGCAATAAGGGTAGTAAAGCAACAAGTGAATCTATCCATTTAACATGCACATAGAAGTAGGAACATTTAAAAAAGTGTGGGGGCTAAGCTCAGGACATACACCAGGAACTTTTTCAGTGTAGGTGTTCTTTCACACCTAACATTGGAAAAAATCATTGTACACCATTTGTTGTGTTTAAGGCCAAACATATTGTAAGTAATCTCAAAACAGGCAGAATCATGCTCTTACCTTCAAATTTTACACATTGTTCCCCTCCCTGGCACGGGAGGCCTTCTTACCCGAGCAGTTAGTCCCGGATCAACACAGGAACCCTCACTGACGCAAAAACATACCTGATCACCAAGGTGGTCCAACAGTTGTCACATAGACACGAGTTCCGTGTTTTTTGGTGTTTTTCAGAGATTTGAGGACTCTGAGCGTAGATTGTAGATGAAATGCAGTCCTAAATTTTCATTGACATGGCTAATCTATGTTTATCTTAAAGTGTTCAAACTTCAGTCAGAATTGATTGCTGACAACAACAAAAAAAAATGTAATATGGTATTGAACATGCATACTCGTAAGTCATAGCAACAATAGCCTGGGCGCCCAGCGTCGCAGTCTCCATAGGCCGCGTTGCGTCGGCCGTGGCTGTGATACTATATGACGACCAATAGGCAAATGGAAGAGATGGCGCATCTTGAGGAAAATGGCTGGTGACTTAGCTAAATCAGTATGTATGTTTAAATGTGGGAAAGTAAGCTAAACACAGCCTTAATCTGATAAGTGTTTGGGGGGGAGGGCATTGCCTCCCTGGCCTTCACTTTTTCTACACCCATGAACATGAACATGCCATGTATGTAACCATTAAGCAAACATTGTGCATGGGGGCACCCAAAGCATAACAGTATATCCCAATTATCTGAATTTGGATATGCTTGACACTATGCTACAAGTCTACATCTAAACCCAACCATGCCTTTCCAACTGTATCCTACAGCCAAACCTGCACCTCCTTTGAAACCTAAGCCTAAACCATAACACAAAACTAGTGGCAGTATCCCCATGTGGTATGCCAAGACTTAACAGTCTTATTTTTGTACAAGAGCAATGTCCTTACAAAATGAATGACAAACAATGGTAGTTTTGTGTCAGTCCCAGTCTGTTTAATGGCAGGTGTCTGGGTGGAGTGCACACAAAGGTACTTGGTTCTCAGTCCTGATTGCATCATGGTTGCATACCTGTGAACCCTTTAGATTGGCATGTCTCTCCTGTGATCTGTTTTATGTGTATGATTTTGATTACAGGCCTGCTGCAAGCTGTATATCAAGGCCACACAATATTGCTGTTCACAGTGGGTAGCAGCTGGTGTCTTAAATAGGACAGGCTCCCTGCTGTCACCATGATCCTGCTCAGCACTCTGAGAGGTGCAGCTGCACCAACCAGGGCAGCCCTGGCTAGAGGCAGTCTTCAGCATAGTAAGTGGCAAGTGCACAGGACATGTAGAGTGTCCATGTTTCAGCTGTGTTGGAGCCTCCTGAATGCTAGTACTGGAAGAAATTCAAGTTTTCACTCTCCAGTCAATATGAATGAGTCAATGCTTAATTTGGCCAGAATGTTGGATAATTGGGAGGAGCAGTCTGCCTCCCAACTTACTGCCTCATCTTTGCTGTTTTCTTCAATGCATTCTCCCCCCCCCCCCACACTATGCTTATGTAAATGGTAAATCATCAGCATCTGCAGGCTCACCAAATGCTGATAAGCTGATGTTCAAATCCATAAGTTCATCAGAACCTGCTGTGTAAGCAGCATGGCACATGAGTGTTAATATTGGGGGTGGATATTTGACCCGCCCCCCCCCCCCCACACACTCTCCTTCAGCACGCCAGATGAGCGATCACCGCACGATGAACATCACGGCGTCGCGCTTCCAATGGAACAAGTTCAAGGACATGCTGCACCTGTACGTGGTCGGCACGGCCGTGCCGCTGCTGGGCGGCATCTTCCTGTTGAACGTGTTCGTGGGGCCGGCCACGCTGTCCGAGCTGCCGGAGGACAGGACCCCGAGGAGTACGAATACCACAAGTCGCCCATTACGCGCTTCCTGGTGCGCTACTTCTGCGCCGGCAGGCAGATGGAGTATGAGAAGGGTATGCAGTACCTCTGGGAAGTGGAGCACAAGCGGCAGCTCAGGTGAGCGTGGCGGACGGAGGGGAGGGGCGGGGCCGTGAGGGTCGACGCCGCTGGCGCGGTGGGTGTGGGGGGGGGGGGAGGGGGAGGCGTTGCGGTCGTCTCCTGACACGCGCCGCAACCACTGCTGTTCTTCCGGCCAAGGGGCGTGAGGGTCGACGCCGCTGGCGCGGCGGGTTTGGGGGAGTGGGAGGCGTTGCGGTCGTCTTCCTGACACGCGCCGCAACCGCCGCTGGTCCTCCGGCGGTGATTTGTGGGTGGGGCTGACGAAACAGAAGGTTGTAGACTCCCTGTACATGTTTTCTGTCCTCCGCTGATCAACGCAGGCTACTTATAATGTGGTCAGGGGTGTCATTTTCTTAAATAGGTGGGGAAGGGGGCCATGTAGGATAAGGTTGACCTAACATTCTCCCAAAACCCGATTTCTTCCTGCATTTCGGCCACTTTAATTTACGTCCCTGATATTAAACTGAAACCGAAATATTTCATTCATTCTAAAATTGTTTTTTTATTTGGACGAATGTATTTCCATCTCAAGGCCATGTCAGGCTGCATTCTTTCAAGCTTGGGATGTGGTGTAAATCAAAGAAAAGCATGTCAGTGGTTGGATCACATCCCTTGTGACGTTATGAAAACACGTTAGGTATTTGCAGCCTGGCCAGGCCTATGAAGGATTTGGCATGACAGAAAATTACGGGCTCACAGGATGCTATCGGGTCGAAAAAGCGCATGACAGTATTAGTGATGTGTTTAGGTACCAAGTGTACCGAACGAGCTTGTCAACTTTGCTTTGGTTTGGTGTTCCTGTTTTGCTCGTACGCATTAAGGGTCCCAGAAGAGGGTTGATGAAGCTTAATCAGCATTTGGAGGGGAGGGGTTAGGCCCCTTCCCCCGAAAGTGTATCAAGTGACGCCTCGAAATGTGGTAAACAACGAATGAATGTATTGTCTCCTTTAAACCCGTCTTGTCTCCGAGCTTTTTAACGATATTTGGTTAAATCAAACAGAAATATTGTAATTATCGGGATAGGCGATATACTTATGCTACTGGATTCAACGAAACCTGTGCGCATGTTTCCAATTCTTCCGCCCCAAAATCGTTGTTTGGCAAAACCTCGTGACACCTCTCCGGGGGATCCTGCGCGTTCCCACGTCGGTCGTCGGCGGCTGCCGGCCGGTCCTGGTGCGGCCGCTGACAATGGCCCGTCCGCAGGAAAATCGAGGCGCGCGTGCGCGAGCTGATGTCGGAGCGGGGCGACTACAAGGCCTGGTACTTCGCGCCGGACGCCACCAGGAAGTACCAGCGCATCGTGCGCAAAGAGACCGAGGAGCTGTACGAGAGGCGACCCGCCTAGACCACGAGCGGTGCTGTACAGACAGCCGCGCGGGCTGTAGCCGAGGTGGTGCGTGTTTTGATGCAATATATGAGGGATGCGGTGAGCGGTGCCGGCGTGTGTAAGTGGTGTGGGTGGCGACAGTTTGGTACCTTGGCTGTGACGCTGAACTACCGGCGCTCAAAAACTACGCTCTAGTCTAGCCTGCGCCTTATCTTCCGCTTCAAGATATACGCGAGTCCGCCCGTCCCTCCCATGGCGGCGCGCCGCTGAGGCGCCAGGCGGGGTTTCCGGCGCAGTGAACCGATTGTGGGCGGTGGGATAGGAACTCCAAACCGGCGGCAAGGCCGCACCACCTGCTGGTGGGCGGGAAGGCATCGTGGTCATGGCCGTGTGGTCCGGGACAATCAGAGTAATAGTTCAAGGGTTCTCCAAATGCACGCATGGTATCCAGGCGACTGGTGCAAAATAACGCCCTGCGAATGCCCCCCGAACGTCTCGCAGCCTGGACCGCCTCACCAGACATCGCTGTCTGAGGAAGCTGCAAATTCCATCATATCACATGTATTTTGTGAGTCTCAAACACCAGCACTGTGACATCTAGATCGAACGTCATATCGGTGTGCGTCTGGTGAGGCGGCAGCTGCCTCCGAAACACTGGGAGGCGGGTTCGTGAACCAACGCTTCCAGGGAGCGAGTGCTGGGAACGTACAGATCAAAACAAGAACACCAGACTTGTGCGAACGCTGCCACCTCGCCTCCTGCGCCGCCGCCGGAGGGGTTGCCTAGAGTCAAACACGGCGGCCGCAGGACACGGGTGTGGTCACTGCCGCCAGGGCGAGCTGAACGGGCATGCCGCCGTCACGAGACAGGCCCGTCTGGGGTCCGCCGCGCGTCGGTCACCGGGGTGAGGACAGCTGGTCGGCGCAGAGGCCGAGGAACGTTCGAAGGGTGCGGTTGTACCTGCCCGATTGTCACAGTGGGTCGTGGGACGCGCGAAAGACGAGGAGTGGGTGCGAGCGCGAGGGTGGAGCCCTGGCGCGCCGGGCCTGGCGGTGACGGCGGGAGATCGGGCATCGCCCAGTGGGGCGGGCTGCCTGAGCCGGCTCCCCGGGCACCGAATAGCAGATACAGCCAACGCATGAACAGCTCAAAGGAATGTCCACGGTATGGCAGCGTGGATGAACGCTGCAGTGAACGACGACATAGACAAGCGGTAAAATGGCCTCACAAGTGTGCAGAGCAGCAAAGTAATACGGCTTCTGCCGCGGCGAAAACAATGGCGACATGTCATGATGGCACATCAAATGTCACACCTGAACACACTAGGCATACGAACACTGGTGCCCCTGGTCCGACGCAAACAGCGTCTCTACACACGCTAAACATCGGTGCCGAAAACAACAAACAGCACACCTCCAGCGTCTCATCGTCCCGGTGGCTTCGTTGTGCCTTCGAGCGCACCAGCAGCAGACGCTATTTTGTCGTCACTTTGATGAGGGTTCTAATGTAAATAACCAGCCCGAAAGACGAAACCGTAAGCCATCGGCGGCGATCGAGATGCACGAACAGCCACTGGGTACCAGCGCCGCCTAGCAGCCCTGCAGTACGTCAACGCCGTTTGGTCGACCTCTTGGCCTCTGCCGAACTTCTGCGCGACCCCATCTCACCCGGGCCGTGACAGAGCGCGAGACCCGCCGAACTGAACGCGAGTGTACGCTCCCTTCCCTACCTCAGGTGGTGGACGTGTGGGGGCCGGCAGCTCCACTCCGCTTGAACGCGAGTGTACGCTCCCATCCCTACCTCAGGTGGTGGACGTGTGGGGGCCGGCCGCTCCACTCCGCTTGAACGCGAGTGTACGCTCCCATCCCTACCTCAGGTGGTGGACGTGTGGGGGCCGGCCGCTCCACTCCGCTTGAACGCGAGTGTACGCTTCCATCCCTACCTCAGGTGGTGGACGTGTGGGGGCCGGCCGCTCCACTCCGCGCCCCAGCCGCTATCGACGGCGGCAGGAGGATGGAGGGGAGGCGGCGACGGGTCGACCGGCGCCCGGCCGCGCGCACGCTCTGTAGACGGCGACGGGTCGGCCGGACGCCGGCCGCGCGCACGCTCTGCAGACGGCGACGGGTCGGCCGGCGCCCGGCCGCGCGCACGCTCTGTAGACAGCGACGGGTCGGCCGGACGCCGGCCGCGCGCATGCTCTGCAGACGGCGACGGGTCAGCCGGACGCCGGCCGCGCGCACGCTCTGCAGACGGCGACGGGTCGGCCGGACGCCGGCCGCCGGCCGCGCGCGGCACCATCCCGTGCGCGCGCTCACCGGGCGGACACGTGACAGTCCAAGAGGCGCGGCGGCCGCTCGCTCGCCGCGGCGGCATTGACTAGAGGGGTGGACGCCCGCGGTCGGCGGCTTCACACGTAGAACAGCCGGACCTGCGACGTGGACACCAGCAGGTCGTCGTCGAAGAACTGGGTCTCGATGATGACGTTGCCGCTGTGGACGGGGACGGCTAACGTCACTAGTCGATGACCCCAGCAGCGGCCTTCGAGTATCCCAGCACCATTGGCGGCAGGCATCGATTCAGTCGCAGAAATGCACGGGTGGTGGGTACTTCAGCCAACTTGTAAGAACACCTTCAGTTGATTTATCTGCGGTGGGCGCTAATGTTATGTATCCTTACGCAGTTCAAAGACACGTATTGGGATTAGCGACAAGTATGTCAAATGTGCCTCCCACACGCATACATTCGTGGCCGAAAGCAATAGGACTGCAAGCCCATACATTTCACAACATTAACATGATAATGCACTTCGCGCCCCAGTGCTTCAAGTTCAAAATCATTTGAGATCACTGAGGACACGAACCATGTCACGAGAAGCAACTGTGAGAACACCCCAGTCTAATGCGGCGGCCGGCGACCTGACGAGGAAACTCACTTGAGAACGTTGGCGGGCATCATCTGACTCTCGGGCGCTGCTTCAATCACGCTCTGCCACGTGTTGGTGGAGTTGGGGATTACGTAGCCGAAGTCGAACGACCACTCCTCTAAGCAGCGGCCCTGCAGGGTGGGGAGGAGACGGCACGTGACACCATAACGAATTTCAGGAACTATTCTGGGGTCAACGACTGCCGCACAGGACGTGGCTAGTCTAAACGCCAGACATCTGTGCAGTTCCCGAGATTTTCAGGTCGCAACACTGCAGCTGGCATCGAAACGAAACAGCCAGGTATGTTCATGTAAGGTGCATGAACGGTTTCAGCGTGCACATATCGTGTTCGCTAGTTATGGCAGTGAGCACATTGCGGCCTACCAACTGCGATGGCAAGACTTGTATGTATCTCTTACGTATGTATCTGAGTATGTATCTCTTACGCCATCTGTCCACAGTATATAATACAGTCAACAAAAAGGTAGCACGAACAACACCAAATGACGTGAACCTCTACGGATATCAAAATGCATCGTGCAGTTAATAGCCGTATATTCCGGGTCAAACATCCCATAGCCAGCCACCAATTGGCATCGCTCCGCGGCCGTTGCACCCGGGGTCAGCGGCGGCTGCGGGCGCCCGCGCACCTTGAAGAGGACCCGCTGCTCCAGCCGGAACTTCTCCATGGGTTCGGCCGAGGTGAAGTTGATCTCGCGCGAGATGGCGCGGCACTTGAGGATGGACTTGGGCACGCGCGCCTCGTGCTCCACCTCCGGCAGCGAACTGGCGGATCGCACACGGTGGGCGTCAGCCGTTAGCGCCAGCTGACCCTCCCCCCACCCTTATTCCGTATTGATTCCTACTGATGGGAAGCTACGTTACAGTCATCGGTTATTCAATACGCCACAATAACATACAAATTGGCGTCCTGTAAAATGAAATTGATGGTGCCTACAGCTTTCTGCCTTTGGAAGGTTTGTTATGTCCCAACTCTGCAGTGGTTACGCAACCATTGATAAAAAAACCAGACCAGCGTAAGTCGGGGGTCGGTGTCCACTAACAACCATATGCCACACCTCGACTGCACTGACCGGCGCCTGCTCAGCTCATCACCCATACAATTACACACATAACAGCTTAGCAAGGTAATGTAACGTAACGTTACGTAACGCAAGCTCAACACAATAGGTCTGCTGACATTGATAAGTAGATATATGTACTCCATCCCTACACATCGCGCAAAGAACGTCACAAACCACATTCCCAAAGATAACTGACTTGGTTGGCCGAAACCACATATGGTGACAAAGGCAGCTTCAACTTTGGTTTCAAGAAGCCTCAGTTTTCCTACAGTGGCTGCCAGTATGGCTCCTACTTTTGAGACATTTTACACAGCTGGAATCAGCTTCGCTTTCGGCTGCATGCCATTTGAAACGATTTGCTTTGGTTTCAGCTTTGAACATATTTGAATGATAACTCTGGCTTGGCATCAGGCGGTCTTGAACAGCTGGCTTCAAGTATGTGATATTTCCACTGCTGAGTTTGGCTTTTTCGTAGTGATCTTTTCGCTGCAGTTATGACTTTACTTCACAAAAATGGTGCCACCCATTTTGCCACCCCAACATACCACAACTTTTTGAGGCAGCAATGTATACATGGCTGAAACCCTCTCACCCCATCCCAACCAAAATAATGTGATGGCCATTCTCAGGACCAGCTTACACCTGAAGATGGCCAGAAAGCTAACTATCAAACAGGTTGTGTACATGCAAACATACAAAACAGGAGTGCTAGTCCTCAAGGCCTCCATCTGTGCACCTTGTCTAGCCATTTATATTTACATGATATTCACTGATCCCATATAGTTTTAGCAGATTCAAAAGTGGTCTTAGTTCAGCTAAACTTTATGCCCTAGTTCCGGCCTTGGTTTCGGACCCAGGAAATCAATTTCAAACAACTGATGACTTCAGCTTTGGCTAAGCATGTCCTTAGTTTGAAGCAGTTGACTTCAGCTTCAGCCTCACATGTGCTAAGTTTGAAGTTACTGGCAATCCAGTCACTGGCTTGGAATTCAGTTTCATGGTTACAACATTTTGTTTTGTCAAACTGAAAAGTCACTGGCTTTGGCTTTAACTTTGACTTCATTCTGTTGCCTTGGTTCAAGGTTCAGCTTCAAATGCAGGGGCCTGGCTTCACCCCAGTGTCTGGTCCAGACACTGGCTCAGGGTCATGACACATGAAGATGACATTGTTTGTTGAAAACAGCATGGAGAAAACAGCTTACATGCATAAAGCAAAACAAAAAGTGCTTTGGAGGTGCATGCAGATACTCACAGGTCTTCATTTCCTTGCCAAAGTATTTTGCCATCATCAGCATCTCTCAGGTTCATCCAGTTACTGAGGGAAGTTAAGGTCTTATAGCACAAAACTGCACCAAAAATTAAAAAATAGATGCATCAAGGCCATGCACCAAAACACATAAGGGTATAAAAAAGTGCAATCATACATGTTTCTGGAATTATCTTATCCTTGAAATTGTCTTTCAGAACTGTTTTTGGCATAAGCCACTGAGAAGATGATCTTGATAATAAGCAGCAATGCATTTGATACAGAATAAGCAATGAGTCTTATACATAAAAGATCAGCCTGACTCAAGATGAATGCACTGCATTGAGCCTCCAACAGGCTGGGTAGTGCTTTTGATGATACACATCAACAAACAAATGATTTAACATTAATCTCCCAATGCAAAATACATAATTGGCAGTTATAACATATGCCTTTAATGCAGCTTTATGAAACATTAACAGATATAATAAGTCAGCAATAGTCATATCCACCAGCCAGTTAGAATAAGTGCATTAAGTCTGGTAAGCCCAACCCATCCAACTCAGCAACTCAAAACAGCCTTGCAAGGATACAGTTGAAATCCCCTGAGGATATCTTCTGCCTTTGATGGCATTGTGTTCTGAAAAAGGAAAATACATATGTCATCTAAGCTCCTTGACTTTGATGTGCATGTGTACCAGTATGATGATGCAATGTTCATCATCTGGAAATCCTTTTAACCATACCATATAGGTGCATTACTACAAGATATGCAGTGCACTGTTTTCTCATCTTGAGCTTGTCAGATAAAATCAAGACACAATTCCTATTGGTGTTTAAGGAAAAGGGGGCCTATCACCACAAAATCCATTGAAAGGCAACATCAATAGAAATGACATGGTGAGTTAACCAGTGGCAGATCCCAAATGGCTAATGGGCAGGTATTTCATTCATAATGAAACCAAAAGGTGATGCCATTTACAAGCAAAATTCACATAAGTTAAAATAAATCACACTGGTATTTGCCTCTTACACCAACACTTCATAGACTGAGGTACAAACAGGGAGAGACACACTGAGATACACAGTGAATGACACTTTTAAGACAAGGCTGGATAATTAATGGTCAATAATAAGCATTTCATGATCAAGAAAAGGCAGGTAATAATGAAAGAGAAAATGGATGAAAATGATATTATGACCATTCTCCATTTCCATGCAGATAGGGTGCAGGATCAGTGCATCAATGTTACTTAGACATCTAGCCAGCGGATGGATTTTTGGGGTGGGTAGGCACCTAATCAGCTCCACAGAACTTTCAGCCACAAGTACCAACCACCAGCAATCACTCAAAACATCATCAAATGACACTCAAGGTCCTCAAGCGTGTGCTCCCGGCCCTGTAGAAACCGTTTTCAATGAAGTCGACCTTTTTGCTTGCAAAAGCTGTGCTTCTTTGAGCAGTGAATCGTGAACCGTTCCAAATCCCTCGACACAACCCGATATATGGACGGCACACCCCCAGCACCGACAGACGACCAGTGCGTCTGCCGCTGTGTACTGCTTAACTTGGAGACAATCGATAGCAGCAAGTTGGCATCAGCTAAAGTACGGCCATAAGAATGCCTCACAGGTAAGGACACACTTTTCCTATTTTCAGTTTACAGTTAACCTCATAATACACATTGCCAGTTGTTTTAATGCAGTGGAATGATTTTGAAGGCAGTTAAGAACGTAAAGGCAATTACCCAGCACAGAGTTAAGGAACCATACAATGGGGAATCAAAACACTTGCTCAAAATGGAAAGGTGCCTTCTCTGCACTAGAATTTTGGCAGGGAATGTGACGCAGGATTTTCGATAGCGCAGTGACATCAGCTGTGATTGCCCGTCGCATTGATCCCGGTCCCCCTTTGGCTATTGGGCATTGGTGTTGAATAAGTGGTGTTTTGTGCAAGCGGTTTCAATGTGATGTGGATTAATTAAACGGCAAGAAGTGATTTTGAATGTTGGCTATCAGCTTTTGTGGACAGTTACAAATTTTCTTCACTGTCAATAATGATTAAATAATTTTGAGGAAAGTTGTGGTCAGGGTACCTGCTTGAAGGACTACTTGCAATATTACAGTGTTTGAAGCATACTAAATTCAACAAGGCATGGTGTTGCACCGAGCAACTGCATTGTCTGTCAGGGACACCTAGTTTACCACTGGTTTTCGCTAATGCCGGCGCAGGCCTCGCACTCAGTAAAAGAGCCTGCATCAGTTAAATTCTGCAAGGAAATAATGTAGAATTATTACCAGAACATGCGCCAGACAGTTATCAATTCCTCTAACAGCTTTATATAGGTCTATATCCTATGCAATGTCACTGAATTGCGTTTCCCCTCACGTCTATCACTCGAATGCCCACAACCGGCCGTAAGTCGGCGGTGCAGCTGTCAGCTAATTGTAGTGTTCGCTAACACTCCCAGCCGATCGTTTGTGACGTCACGAAGTTACAAAGTCACTCATGCTGGTGATAGTTTGCGCGTATAAGGCTGGTAAGTCAATGATGGAAGCTGGGCGATTCCCGTCACATGCCGGTCCCTTCCAGTCGAATGACAAATGATGACTGAAAGTTATGTGCTGTGAGGACAGGTCACTGGATCACTTTGCATGGTCTCTGAGATAATTGTGAAGTGAGGCTGGGTGGCAACGACCGTGACTGATAGGACTAGGTCAGCATATAGACAGGACCGGACGGGACGCGACAGGAAAGACCAAACCAGGTTAGACCTGGTGGTCAAGAGGAGACTGGGTGAATAAGACGAGACCGGGCGGACCGCACGGATTCAGACAGGATCAGACGGAACCAGGCATAACCAGGAGGATTAGACGGGATCCAAGGGCACCATACATGACTGAAAGGAACTGGACGAGACGGAATATGCAGAACGGGACCAGGTGGAACCGGACAGAACGTAATGGGGCCAGACGCAACCGAATGGGATAAGACTAGATGCCACTGGAACGGATTGGACATGAAGGAATGGGACCGGACCAAACCAGAGGGGACAAAACGACCCGGCGATTCTTCGATTCTGTCTGACCCGGAGGTCAGACAGAATCGAAGAGTATCGTAAATGACGGAAGGGAACCGGATGGGACAGAATGTGATCGCGCATACTTTGACAGAATCGGACCGGATCAGACAGAACCAGATGGAGCGTCATGAATTGAGACAGAACCGGGCGGAACCAGACCAGATAAGTTGAAACCGGACAAGGCGAGACCAGACGGGATCGGATTGATCCCGAAGGAACCTGACCAGACCGTACGGTATCAAACGGGACCAGACAGGACTCGCCGAGGCAAGGTCCTCTGGTCGGCGCTATGGGCCCCTGACCAACATATGGCCCATCATTTTTCAGGTACCTCAAGCAATACAAATCGTGTGCCCAGCCTTGCTCCTCCTCGGGAAATGGTCCCCCTGGGCTGAGACCGGCACGGAGCTAACTGTTGGATATCGGTAGTCTCCGGCCGCATTAGAGGCCCGCGTTCTCCTAGAGGATCTCAGTCGATGCAAGGGTCCATCTGCAAATCACCACCAAGGGTCCATCTGATCGACATTTGAAGTTACGGCCTTTGAAGTCCCAGTCCCACAGACTGGGCCCCCAAATATGATCTTCAGCCAGCTCTTTGGGCCCTTCAGCCTTTCCATCGGGCCTTTGATCGTCAGCCTCGGAGGATATTTTGGGACTCTGTTTAGACATCCTCGAACACTGGTCTGGTCGACTCGGGGCCCCTTGCCAAAACAAGGCCCCTGCTACCCGCTGTGGAATTCTGGCCAACCCGGCTCATTGGCTCAGGGGCCAAACCAACGTAAATCGCAGGCCCCGGCCTTGTGCTTGCTTAGCAAATTGGTCCTCAGGTCCAGACTGACACGGGGCCGACTGTTTGGTACTGTGCTACCTGGCCCACATAGTAGACCCATCGGCTCAGCGGGGGGGGGGGGGGGGGCGTCGACGATAAGGGCTGACTGGTATTTGAGGGTCCGGCACTGCGAACCGGGTCGGGAGGAGGTGCACATGCCCCTTTGTCCTCCTTCCTCGCCTGTATCGCTGTCCAGAGAGCAACGCATGGGTTTCCGAACAAATGTGAAGAAATCAATGGCAACGTGGAAGACCCTTACCGATCGCATTAACCCGGTAAGTAACACATGGGTCTCCTAGCAACAGAGGCCTGTGGACAGCACAACGAGGCGTAAAATTTCACTTGCTACTCGTAATCCGCGAATAATTATTTTTTTGTCTGCTCATGGGCCCTTCACCTTTGCTTGTGGCTGTTATTGGTCACCGGAAGGTCCAAATATGTCGACTTCGCTACGTTTTGTGTTAAAGAATGCTTCCGTCCCGCCGGCTATGGGCCCCCGGTGGCCACAAGAAGAGTCACGGTGCTGCGGCTTCCTCTCTGGGTCCTCCACTACACACGTGCGGTCCCGTACGAAATTGTGAACAGTTAGGTGAAGATCTGGTAGCTTTGTGACGTCATCTTATTTACAATCAGTGTGAAGTGTTAGCAAACTTTTCTGCAATCAGCTGGCGGCTGCACAACTGATTCGTTCACCCCAATATGCAAACTGTTGCATGCAGACGTGAGGGAAGACGTACCTAAATGATCTTGTATAGGTGATAGAGCTATATGAAGGTGCTAGAGGAATTCATAAATGTCTCGTGCATGTACTGCCAACTCTTTTGTATGGTTTGCTGGCTAAGCTTAGCTGGAACAGAGCGTTTTATGAAGCGGGAGGCCCACACCAGTGTTACCTGATTTTTACCCCCTTAAATTCACCTGAATGACTGATGAAAGTAGAATGCTGACAGTAATGTTCATCTCCTACCCATAGTGTCATTGTCAATGTATATGCCATATATGACCGGTATGTGCTTCAAAAAAGGTGTGCCATCAGTACTTGAACCTCTACCATATCAGGAAAAGTTACCATAATTTTGCATGCCAGTCATAGGGCCTTTGAAGTAATGACTGAAGTAATGATGCTAAGTGGCTTTTTAAGTATTTGTGCCTGTTGTTAAAATTTGTCAGTTCTCCAATGTTGCACAGGTCTATGTATTATATGTACATTAGTTTGTAACCTGTTGTAAAACACATGCATAGATGTTACAATGCATTCCTACTGTGTGTAGTAATGCATTTGTTTGATCCTTTGACATGTGCATTATTCAATAAATTTCAGTGCCTGCTTTCGGACGTGCAGTTAATTATGCAGGAGCACATGCAATGCCATCCTAAGAAGCACTGCAAGTGGTAGGGTGGTCAAGCAATTTAGCAAGTTTTTTGCAATGGGAGATCTGTGTCAAGGGAGTACCCAAAGCATGATGATGAAATCTGAACACATGTGTTACATTTGTGGAAGTGCTGGTTTCATTGCATCAAGATGTATGACAGATAGTCTAGGCACTTCTGGAATAAGCATTGAGGAAAAGCTGTACCAGATTATGTCTGTGGATGTACCAAATGACAGACACAGTGAAATTGTGTGTGAAGAATGTTTCTCACTGTTGGAGAACATCACAAAGCAACAGAATGCTCTGTACATAATGATACAGGACATAAATGAGAAACTGAATAATACCTGCCAAAAGATGCTGCAGTTAAGAAATGGTGATGATGACAGCAAGCATGTGTTAGAGGTAAGCCTTTTCATGCTTACTCTTCTGATTAATATGCAGCTAACTTATGGTATCCTCAATGCAGTTGCTTACCCGAGAAACAGACCATAGCATATAACACTTGCTATATTTGAATAAACAAACAGTGACGCATGCACTTCTTTAAGCAGTATGTACCTGACCAAGTCACACCGCTGTCTTCCTGTGCAGGCAGCTGTGGCAGACGAGCTGGAATCGGGGTCGGCCTCGTCGGACGCAGCGTCGCCGGCAGACGCGCGTCCGTCGTCGCCGGCCGAGGAGCCGGCCGCACCGCCCGCCTGCGTCGACTGCCCGGGCCGCGCCTTCTCCAGTGCCGCCTCGCTGCGCCGCCACCGGCGCAAGAAGCACGAGCGCCACCTGAGCTGCCCCTTCTGCAGCCGGCCGGTGCGCGAGAGTTACCTCGAGATGCACATCCTCATCAAGCACTCAAAGACGGAGAAGGGCTATCTGTGCACACTCTGTGACCGCTCCTACGAGTCGGCCAAATACCTGAAGGTGCATCTGCGCACGGTACACAGCGACGGTAAGCAGTACCAGTGTACCGAGTGTGGTCGCTTGCTGGCCAACCGCGGCAGCCTGCACGCGCACATGCAGCGGCACGCGCGCAGCCACCAGTGCTCGCTCTGCGGCCGCCGGTTCGCGCTGCTCAAGCAGCTCGAGACGCACGCGCGGCACCACACGGGCGAGCGGCCGTTCCTCTGCACCGACTGCGGCAAGGCCTTCATCTCAGTCGAGCGCCTGCGCAAGCACGCGCACGTGCACGCGGTGGCGCCGACGTGCGAGGTGTGCGACCGCGTGTTTGCCAGTCGCGCCGGCCTCGAGGCGCACCGGCGCACGCACAGCGGCGACCGGCCGTTCGCCTGCACCGTGTGTGCCAAGACGTTCAAGCGCGCCGCCCACCTGAGCGACCACGTGGCCAGCGTGCACGGGGAGGACCGGCCTTTCAAGTGCGACCAGTGCGAGCGCTCCTTCACCCTGGAGCCGTACCTGAAGCGCCACCAGCGGCTGCACGGCGGCCAGAAGCCGCACGGCTGCGCCGCCTGCGGCAAGCGCTTCTTCAAGAAGTACAACCTGCAGGCGCATCTCAAGACGCACGAGGCGGGAGCGGCGGCGCCGCCCCCGCCGCCGCCGCCAGCCACGTACGCCGCGCCGCCGCCTCCTCCGCTTTCGCCTCCGCCGCCGCCCCCGCCTCCGCCGCCCGTTGACCCGCCGCCGCCGCACCCCGGCTACATGTGGTCCTAGCGGCCGTACCCCCGCCGCCGTACAGGCAGACTGGGCAGCGGCCTCTAAGGGCCCACGCAGCCGTGCTGGTGGTGGGTCATCCAGCCGTGTTGGTGGTGTTCCAGGCGAGCCTCGGGCTGGGGAGAGTGGTGGCGTGTGATGGCGAGATCGTCTACGCTGTGATCGCCACGTGAATACTGTCGCTGAAGTCTGGACTTCGGTATAGGTGTTCCCTTCAGTTCATGTCTGAAGTCATTGCGTGCGTGCGTGCGTGCGTGCGTGTGTGTGTGTGTGTGTGGTTCATCCCATTGATGTCGCGCCATATGTTCCGTTGTGTGATGTTTCATTCCTCATCACGAGATTCGTCGTTGCCCAGGTGGGCGGGCCGCCGTGCTGTGAGCCGAACCCGGGACTGCTGTGATTCGTTTTTGCCGTCTTCTTTGGATGCGTGGCAGCAAGTGATCATTGCCAAATGTAAATACACTGACCCGTCGTTCTTTTCAAAAAATCTTTAGTCGACGCGCCCTAAAACCCCAATCATCATCATTATCATCTTCAAAAATCTTATATTATATCCGCTGATAGCAGACAACAATAGAAGGCGACAGTGGCTAGTCGACACACAATACACGATCCTGAGCTCAAGCCACGAAGGGGTGAGAGTTGGCACGCAACGCCTGCCGGACCGGCGCCAGTCGCCCTGTGCGACTGGTGCGGTACGCGCATGCGCACAGCTCTCAGCGGGTCCTTTGGCCTGTTGGTGCACCGGCGCTGCAGCACGTAGCATTTGATTTCCGATGGCGTGTGCCTGAAAAAGGAGACAGAATTGAGTATTCTTATCATACAATGAGAAGTACGCGTGCTCTGCCGATTCTTCTCTCCCACTTTACAAATAAAGTCGCACCGTATTGCGGCGGAGCCCAGACTACACTCAGCACGTGTCGTGCAGGAAAGATGTCTGCGCTCACTGGCATCTACCTGGAGTACACCAGTATCTGTCACCACGGCGCACACCGGCAATCCTGGCGCACACCGGCATCTGTCACCCTGGCGCACACCAGTGTGTATTATTACCCTGGTGCACGCCGGCATCTGTCACCCTGGCGCACACCAGTGTATTACTCTGGGGCACGCCGGCATCTTTCACCCTGGCGCACACCAGTGTGTATTACCCTGGCGCACGCCGGCATCTGTCACCCTGGCGCACACCAGTGTGTATTACTCTGGCGCACGCCGGCATCTGTCACCCTGGCGCACACCAGTGTGTATTACTCTGGTGCACTCCGGTATCTATTACCCAGACGCACGCCGGCATCTGTTACTCTAGGGCACGCCGGTACCTATTACATGGCGCACACCGGTGTGTATTACCCTGGCGCACGCCGCCCAGCAACCATGTCTGCCGGGCTTGGATGGCCGCCAGCATGTAAATGTTGGCCAGCACCAGTTGCTCTGCTGCCATTCTGCTTGGTTTTCCGCTACGTCTGGAACGCTGGGACCTGTGACGTCACGTACCTGGCTAGGATGCTGGCCGTCGGCGGTGGGGTAATGCACTGGCGTTGGCGGCGCTGCTTCGCGGGCTCGGGTTCGTCTCCTCTGTGCGCGAGAATGGGACGGATGTGCGACACGGCCAAAGCACAGACGCATGTCCTCGATGTGCAGCGTTTATAAATGAGCCTGTTACCGGCTCTCACAGTTTACTTTATGATGGACGCATACAATGCATTATCGAAATGCAATAAGAGCAGATTCCACTAACGCCATAACAAAATGTTGGCCGATTGAATTGTTTTTGCGTGGAACCGTTTCACTAGTATACATTTCCATCAATCACCATCAATTATACATGTTAAGAGCATAAGATAAAAGCCGCTTTCTTACAGGAGATTGATACTGCTGGGTAGAAAATGTAGAAGGTACCTGTGTAGTCCCAAAGCAACTTATGTAAATGTGAATAGTATCGCCGGGCTAAAGGTTTGAAGGACCGAGGGGGGGGGGACGCGACCACGGGTGTCGAATTCTCAAAATGATCGGGGAAGCGAAGTCTCAGTGGTCGCCATAAGGGGAAAGGCACGAAAAGCTTCTCCACACACACACACACACACACGCACATGTATATTATATATATATATATATATATATATATATATATATTGTATATATAATATGCAAATATGTGTGTTTATGCGTGACTACCGTAGAGTGTTAACAACATATGTGGCTATCACAGCACGTTTACACACATGTTCTCGGCAAACCGAGTTTCATGGATAAAACATATGCATTTCAGTTAACGTAAAACAAAACATAAGCACCCCTCCATGCACCAGTCACGGAAATGGTACTGAACCTTTCTCCAAACAGCCTGATGCCTTCCTCATCAGAATGCCTTCTCCACCCATTTTATAACATACGTTTTTCAAGCCTGCTGTGTTTCTAGGAGGAGGTTGTTCCAGGCCTTGTCGCGCTTCTGAAGGGAAAACGACCCTAACCCGCTTCAGTTCGAACGTGTGGCAGATGAAATCCCGTGAAGTTAATGTCATGCGCAACGTGGGTTAAGTATCAAAGCATTGCTAGTTGAGCTGGCTCTTCAGTGGCCACATGCGATTATACTGATGCTTCCATATTCGGTGCACAATGAGCTCACCGACACAGATGCGCGGCCAGAATCTTGGTAAAAGGGAGGGGTACATGATTGACAAAGGACCACTCCTGGTGAAACGTCCCCGCCCAAAATATTATCATGTACGCCCCACTTGATTTAAAAAAGGGACGATTTGCTTCGTTTTATTATAATATGTACCTTTTTACTAAAACAAGCCAGAAGGCAACGCAACGCTTTAAAGGATTACATAAAAAGCACCGTCGCTTTCCATTTTGTAACTGTTTAGTGAACTCTTTCTAAGTGACAACACTCAGGGCTTTGTTGGAATTTTTCTGTGTTGTGCAGAGACATTGTGAACTTAGATGATAGTTGACGTAGATTGTAGATCGAAATAGGGTTGTACATTTGCTTTGACATGCCCAGCCCCTGAGTGTCAGGGAATCTGCGACCTTTCCAGAGGCCAGATGTGAAAGAAGTACATCACATGCTCTTGACCATGTACGCTCGCAAGGCTTAGAATAAAGACCCTGATGCCCGACGTTGCAGTCTCCGTAGGCCGCGCGCCGTCTGTCTCGTGGCGGAGGTCAGCGGGCAGACAAAGACCATATTGTTTCTGAAAAAAGTGCCTTTGAACGCTTGAGGGTGTCAGCCCGTACGTTTAGAGAGTAACCCGCGAACGTGTTTAACCTAAATCATTTTTTTTGGGGGGGGGGGATTTGGTGTGCTGATGCTTTTTTAGGACTTTGGTGTGTTGCCGTGCGCTTTGGTGTGCACGTCAGCACACCAAAGCTCCTGTATTTATGCACATCGTCGCACACCATCGCATCGCACCCAGCACATCGCATCCGACCAGTGCTGGAATTTACCATGGAACCTTGCGAGTTACGGTAGAATCCTGTATTCGGGTTGCTGTAGCTGTTAATCCACTCAGAGAACATCCCGAAATTATGCAGGCGAAGTATGCGCCCGGACCCGATAGCTGAACGTTGCGGATTAATCTAGAAAGACTTTCGGAGCATTATTTCACGACGGCCGTTCTCGCGCTCCAGGCACCCGCCGCCGATGTTGACTGTATCGCCCGACGCCGCTCGGCTTGATGAAAACTGCAACCTTGGACATCGATGTTCTTGCTTCCAAGAATGCGAACCCTCGCGCTTAAAATTCGTTGACGGGATTTGTTTCACACGTGACCCCGGGTGAGGATGGACGTCCTCATTGGCGTCGACCTTTTCCCGTTTTGGCCCCGTTCTGATCCGCCCTATCGAAAACCAAAGAAACCCCTATATTTTCGGGGCAAAGGCCCAGTTCGTAGTACACTAGGGGCACATATTTCCCCGTCAGAGGTTCAAGTAAGGGTGAATTCCTCTACAGCGCGGAGTGCCTGACGGCTGCCATGCTGGCGACTCGGTGGGGGGGGGGGGGGGGGGAGGCGGAGTTTTTAGGTCGTTACGAGAGCCCTTAGAAGCATCATTCATACATTGGTCGCCTGTCTGACGCCGGAGCTCCCTGAACCAAGTATCTGGCCCCGAATAAACACAGGGGCCCTCCCTGACGCACAAAGGCCTCTTACCGCCGCAGGTGTTCAATAATTAGTATAGAGGCTCCAGCTCAGCAAAACGAGCCCTGGTTGAAGTGGTATGGAGAGCCTCCTGTTCTGAACTGATGTCCCTGACTGTCGCTGTGCCTTCCATTGTCCTTTTTGGACACTCGTCGTAAACTGTAACATCCACTCTCCTTGTCAGAGAGTCTCGACCATCACCAGAGGCCCTCTAGCATTCGGGGTCTCGTCGTGCTCCCGATCAGCAAATGTTACCCCGGCCGATTCAAGACCCCTTGCCGACGTAGAGCCCTCTGTTAGGCACTGTGGGGGCCTTACCGACACAGTAGCACACATTGTTTCAGGGGTGCGAACCAATACAAATCGTGGGTCCCAACCTTGTCCTTGCTTGAGAAATGGGCCCCAGGGCTCGGACCGACACGGAGCCGATGGTTCGGAGTTGGTGCTCTTTGACCGATAAAGAGGCCCGCCTGGTCCCAGCGTACCCACATTGGTGCAAGAGGCCCCCCGACTTTGACCGATATAGGGGCCCGCATCGTCCCAGCGTACCCACGTCGGCGCAAGAGGCCCTGTGACTGATATTTTAGAGTCCGGCCCCGCGGTTCGGGGTCCTTAATGTGAGCTTCGGGACCTGCGGGACCCCACGAACACTACTCATGACCCATTTGGGGTCGCTTGCCACTACAGGACCCTTGTCAGACACTGATATTCCCAAACCGCACAAGGGCTCCTTCATTGACTCAGGGGCGCGGCCGATGTATATTGCGGACCCGACCCCATCTCTGAGTGGGGACCCGACCCCTGAGAAATGGGTCCGTGTTCCAGATCGGATGGTGGAGTAATCTGGTGGCGAATCCGCCTCAACCACAGGGGTGCGATTTCGCAAAATAGGCCTCGGGGCTGAGAGGGGAAACCTAAACATAAATGCACCAAACAACAGTTCTCCCGAAAATTTGACCCACTTTTCTCTCAAGGTTATGAAATTGGAGTCCCCCCCCCCCCCCTCCAACCCGATGGGACGCTGCATCCCA